TTGGCGACCAGCTGAGAATCTGTCTTGAGGTAGACATGCTCGGCTTCCAACGATATGCACAGGTCTAAGCCAGCAATGGCTGCTTCATATTCGGCCTCGTTGTTAGAGGCTTTGAATGAAAATTTTAGTGCATACTCGAAGGTTTTGCCTTCGGGAGAGGTAATGACGACCCCTGCCCCCGAACCGTTCACGGTGGAGGACCCATCCGTGAAGACGGTCCAGATTTTCCTCCTTGCATCCAGAGTCTCCTGATAGGAGCACTCGGCCAAGAAGTCTGCCAAGGCTTGCGCCTTGATGGCTGTTCTCGGCTGATAACCGATACTGAACTCGGTGAGCTCGAAAGCCCACTTTGCTAGTCTACCGGATTTTTCAACCTTGCCGAGGACTTTCTCTAACGGCTGATCAGTTAGAACCGCTATTTGATGAGAATCAAAATAGGGTCGCAACTTCCGAGCAGCCACCACCACTGCATAAGCCACTTTTTCTAACAATGGGTAGCGCGTCTCGGCATCCGTCAGGGTGTGGCTGACGAAATAGATCGGCTGTTGAATTTTTTCTTCTTCCCTTAGCAGCACCGCGCTTACCGTGGCTGGACTGACCGCCACGTATAAGTATAGGATGTCTCCTACGACTGGCCTTGCCAGTGTTGGGAGTTGAGCCAGGTGTTCACGGAGCTGCTGAAAGGCTGACTTTTGTTCGTCTCCCCATTCAATGCCTTTTGAATTTTGGAGCTTCAGCGCCTTGAAGAAAGGGAGCCCTTTGTCTGAGGCTCGTGAGATGAACCTGGACAAGGCAGCCATTCTCCCGGCTAGACGCTGAATATCCCTTTTTGTCTTCGGCTCGGGGAGGTCTAAAGCAGCTTGTACTTTGGCGGGGTTTGCATCAATCCCCCTCTTGCTGACCATGAAGCCGAGGAACTTGCCTGACTTCACGCCGAAGACACATTTCTTCGGATTCAGCTTCATTTTGTATTTTCTGAGGGTGGCGAAGGTTTCGGCTAGGTCCGTGACATGATCTTTTTCTTTTATGCTTTTGACGATTGAGTCGTCAACATAAACCTCCATGTTTCGGCCTTTTTGCTCGGCGAAAACCTGATCAACCAACCTCTGATATGTTGCCCCCGCATTTTTCAATCCGAAGGGCATCATTCTGTAATTGTACAACCCGGAACTTGTTATGAACGCTGTTTTAGCTCGGTCCTCGGGGTGCATGAAGATCTGATGGTATCCCGAGAATGCGTCCATGAAACTGAGCAGAGCATGCCCGCTTGTCGAGTCGACCAGTTGGTCGATCCTCGGCAGCGGATAGGAGTCCTTGGGACATGCCCTATTCAGGTCCGTGAAGTCAACGCACATCCTCCAGTTACCATTTGCCTTCTGAACCATTACAACATTGGCCAGCCACTCCGGATACTGACAGGGTTCAATGAACCCAGCATCTAGGAGCTTATCGACCTCAGCTGCGATATTCTGGTTCTTTTCGGCGGAGTAGTTCCGCTTTTTCTGCTTAACGGGTCGACTGGAGGGGTCGACATTAAGCCTATGGGAGACGAAGTCCGGATCAATCCCGGGCATTTCTGCGGCTGAGAAGGCGAACACGTCTCCACTGGCCCGTAGGAGTTGGACGAGTGCCGCACGGGTGTTTGGCTCCAGTGACGACCCGATGCTAACACATCTGTTCGGATCTCCTACGGTCAGTTCTATTGACTCGGTCAGGTCATCCGTTTCCATGCTCTTAGAGTTGGATTCCTCGAATTCCGGCCTGCTATCAATATTAGCAGACTTTCCTGACCGCGGCTGGCCATCAGAGTCGTTCGGCTCTGAGGCGGAGTCAGCCTCTTGGCCCCCATCAGATTTCTCGTTGTCTGGGGCTTCATTAGCCGAAACGTCTGAGCCTCTCGGCTTTTTGGCGTTTCGGTCCCGGTGCTTTTCCTCCCCATCGCCACGGTCGCCTCGGCGAGACGTGGATGGCTTGAGGTGATTGCATCGGCGGGCTTCTTTTTGACTGCCCTTTATTTTCTCGGAGCGTCCCTCGTCTGAAACGTATATCATGATTTGATGATACGTGGAGACGACTCCTTGAATGTCGTGAATGAGGGGTCTCCCCATGATCACGTTGTATGCAGATGGAGCATCTACGACCAAAAATTCGGCCATGATATTCCTAGCTGCTCGGCCTTCGCCGATGGTGACAGGAAGTGTAATCTTCCCATCAGGATACGATGAAGAGCCGTTGAATCCAGACACCGGGTAGGGTGCGGGGTCCAGGTGCTCGGCTCCCATCCTCAGCTGGTCGAACGCTCCTCGGAAGAGGATGTTCGCCCCGCTACCGCCGTCGACGAGGGTCCGCCAGACGTTGCGGTTGGCGATGCCCAGAATGATTACTAGTGGGTCATCGTGGGGGTATACCACCCCCTCACAGTCTTCGGCTGTGAACAGGATGTTCGGCGCCGGTGACTGGGACTGCCGAAGCTCAGCCTGATGAATCTGATGGGTTAGACCCCTCAGTTGGCGTTTGGCTGTGCCTCGCGAGATTCCCCCGGAAATAACTAGGATGTCGAGGGACTCCTTGCCCTGAGGTCCCTTATCCTTCTTCCGAGCGAAGTCGAGGTCCTGCCGAGAATCTTTTTCAGCTTTTTTCTCCTCGCGCCTGTCCGCGAGGTATCGGCTCAGGTACCCCTTGCGGACCAGATCCTCAATCTGGTCCTTCAGCTGGACGCAGTCCTCGGTGCGATGTCCGGGTGAGTCATGGAACTCGCACCACTGGTCCTTTCCCCTCGTCTGATGCCAGGGAGGCAACGGACGAGGTTTTTTGAATCTCCCCTCGTCCTTCGTCGTGCTGAAAATCTTAGCACGGGGAAGGGAGAGTGGAGTGTATGAATCGTACCTTCCCGTGTAGGGAAAGTGTCTTTCCTTCTTCGGCTCGGCAGCAGAGGACGGTTCTGAGGCCTTAGCCTTCCCTTTCCTCTGCGCCGAGATTTCGGGCTGCTGCCCTTTCGGCTTCTCAATTCTCGGACGAGACTGAGACCTGGATCTGTTCCACTCCTCGGCTCGGATGAACCTGTCCGATGCTTCCAAGGCTTCCTCCAGGGTCTGCGGGGGATGCATGACCATGAAGTCCAGGAACTTTCCAGCTTGGAGGCCGTTCCGTAGCGCGAACACGGCCAGGCCTTGATCCAGGCTTGTGATTCCGGATGACTCGTTGCTGAAGCGAGTCAGATAGTCGCGGAGGCTCTCGTCCTCCGCCTGCTGCAGACTCATTAGCTCTGCAGTGGTCTTCTCTCGGCGGTTGGCCGTAGAGAATTTGCTCTTGAACTTGTTGGAGAGGTCGTTCCAACCGGTTATGGAGCCTTCCTTGAGCCCTTTGGTGATCCAGGATTGGGCAACACCTTTGAGGGTCGTAGGAAAGTATTTACACCAGGTAGCCTCAGACCTCGGGTTCAGATACATGTGCCCCTCGTAAGAGGCAATGTGATCCTTAGGATCTGAGGTACCATCGTAAGTAATATGTGCCGGGATTTTGACCGTTGGCACATGCTCTTCCAGAATCCACTTCTGGAAGGGCGAGTTCGATGGAACCATGACCGCCTTCCCCTTGTACCCGGCCTCAGGGACCTCGCTCCCTCCTCTCTCAGAGGTGGAAGTGGTTTTCGTCCCCGGCTGAGACAAGGTTGGGTGGGGTCCGGTATCCTCTGGGAAGGTGAGGCGGCTATGCACACTCACCTCCCTCGAACCCAAGCGTTCGTGAATGCTTCGGCGGGCGAATTCCGGGTCCTTGGAGGGCCCCATAGAATTCTGAGCTTCAGAGTGGTCAGAGGGTTGAGGGTTCCTCCTCCTCTCCTTACTGGAGTTTCGGGTGTCCCCTCGCCACCTCTGGCCGAGCTGTCTATGTGGTGGAACTTGTCCACCATCATCCTGACCGATCCTCCTTTTCAGGTTTCTCGGCTGGTGATCATCAGGCATCCGGATTGGAGCCCCTTGAGCTTTAAGGAACTCCATGCAGATGGCCACTGCTCTGGCCACTTCCTCGGTGGAGGGTCCGGAGGGAGGAGTCTCCTGCGGATGTGACCTGGATTGCACGCTATGGCGCGGCGGGGAGTTCCTCGCACCTGAGCCACTCGGTCTCGGGGATGGCCCCGGCTGCCGAGTGTGGTGCGAGGTGTTCTCCTCCTGGAGGCTAGGACCTCTTGAGGCTCCCCTTTCCGGAGAAATGGGGGCCTCCGATTCGGAAGAGGCTTGCTCCGGGGAGGGATAAACCGGCTGGCGTTCCCTCACCGTAATCCGGCCTCCTCCCTTCTTAGCCTTCTTGGAACTCTTTCCACTCTTAGTCATGGCGACTGCCGGAGTGTTTGATGACTGACGCGAAATTTAGTAGCGTTCCCCACAGACGGCGCCAAATTGTTTCGGATGAAAACAATCGAATCTCGGAAGATCCTTTTATCTTGAGGGAACTTGGTCTCGGTCCGAACGACGCAGGAGCCGAGGGTTTCCTGCACAACAAATACACGTAAACTAGCCTCGGGGGGGACGCCGAGGAAGGCCCCTCCGATGCTTAAGTCAGTATATTAGAGAGAGAAAGCTGTGCAAGAGTTTAGTTGCTTGAGGCTTATTGTCTTTGTCTTTGTCCTTACCAAGAATTGACCAAATTGTTGGCTTTTATACCTTGGCTAATGAAGGAGGCGGATTGGGCCCGGAAATCAGTTGGGCTGGGCCAAGCTGATTGGGCCGTTGACTGACCTTGACATGGCTTTGAGGATGTTGATTTTTGACTTTAGCATGTTTGGAGAGTTGAACCTTTGCCTTGGGCTTTTAATTGGATCATTCAGTGACCAGGCCCAATTGGACTAAATTGGACCCAAACACATATGATGAATGAATCACAACCCTCGAACAGAGGCAAAGTCATACCAGTAAACTAAGAGGAAGGTGACACCAGTTCTAAAAGTGATACCAGCTAAAGTGGTCAGAAGTAATCAAACCAGATGCAACAATTTAGTTAGGGAAAGATGAAAAATATATACTTTATCTACTTATAATCATATATATACAACAAATACAATACTACGCATTTGCAGCTCATCTTATAAGCAAAATGATGAGGCTGACATAGCAGGCAACATAGAAGAGTTACACTAACCTAGCCATTAATGTATAAGCTAGTTTCAGCCTTCTGCATTCCTATATTTCAGGAGCTAGTTCAACGTAACAGCAAAACAAAATAGCTTGTTTGCCCGGTTGCAAAACCATAAAAGAAGTTCAAGTAACATACTTTTGGTCTTAATTACGCAAAGCACCAGTTACTCTTACCCTTAGGAATGGAAAGTTCATCAAGACATCAGAAACTTCACCTCTTGACTTTTTTGGTGGCAGATGACTTTGTTTTGGACATCTTACCCTTTGATTTGAACGATTCATCATCCGATTCATCACTTTCACCACCAAATTTCCTTTTTAGTTTACTGTCGGCCTTCCCACAGAAAACAATTGTTTTCTTTTCATCCTTCTGTTGCACATCCTCAGATTTATCCTTAGGCCTCCAGATAAATAGAGATCTGAAAGACAATACAATCACCAACTATTATGCTTTCAATACATAACTAGAAATTATCTCAATGATGCTTTATGTTCATGAAGATGAAACCAACATTCTAAAGCAAAATTTTATTTCTTTAATCAACATGCAACACTATAACAATGATAGATAAAAAAAACAGAAAGGTGACAGGAAAATCTGTGGGGATGGCCACCTAATACAAACCTTGAACTACCAGACGCCAGAACATCATCTCTGGGATGCAGTTTATTCACAGGACTGATGGTTGTGATATTCGGGTCAATCACCTCAGCAACTAATTGCCCTGTGCTCACATCTATAAAGTCAATAGGATGCAGAGCAACGCCATTGTAGTTCTCACTGATGTAACGTCCAATAACAGCAAGAGACTCTGATGAATCCTGCCCAAAGGGGAAAAGGAGGAGGTATAACTAAGTCAGCAATGCCTAAAGAAAAGTATGTAAGTTAATGCTAAAAAATCAACCTTGGGATCCCATTCAGCACGAAAAGCAGTCAAGTGGCGATTGAAATCGTGGCTATGTACAATTTCACGGCTTGGTGACTCCATATTGCCATATATTGAATCCCAAACACGAATACGATTGTCTTGTGCCGTAGTGAGAATCTTGCTCCCTGTATGCGGAGAAAAATAAGCAGAATTTACTACTCGGCGGTGTGCAAGGTTGCCAAGAGAAGATCCAGCTTCTAAGTGACGGAGATCCCATAAGCGGGCCTGAAATGGTGCCAAACAAAGTAGAAAACACATTGGGATGAATATCTGGATCAACATAGATCAAAGATCACTTCTTACAGTCAAAAACACAACGAAGGTTCCATCCACTTGTAACAAAACCTATGAAAAAAAAACACACTAATGCTGATGTCCACGAAGCAGATGAAGAAAGAAGTCGACAAATTGAAGTCTAAGCAAAAACTTACAAAGTGATCATTTCCACAACTCAAGAGAAGATCTGGCTGGATAGGGTTACAATGCAACCCTACAACCTTGCTACCCTTTTTATGTATCAAGACAGCCTCCCTTATTTTATCCTTTGTACGTGTATCCAACCTATAAGTATGGCATGAATATTATTGGCAAATATGTTTATGAACAAAAAAAAAATTCACTCATTCGTCAATCATCATAATCATATATCAAACAAAGTTACAACTAAAATATTAACAGAGTTACAGAGTACTACAAGAATAAAGATTCAAAAAAAATTTGTAGCAACACCACAAACCAGTCACAAATCACAACAGAAGCTGTTTTTTTTTCACTTTTTTTTTTTAAAAAAAATATGTACAAAGTACTAGTACTACATAGAGTCCCCAGGTGACAAGAGTGTTTTCCTATTCAAAAAGCTACATGTCACAATTACTAACAATTCAGTACTTCCCACAACTCATTCAAATGAAAGAGTAACAGATGTACTTACATGTACAGATAGCCGAAGTTATCAGCAACTAGAACAAGCCCCTTCTCTGAGTTGATATCTAAGCCATACAACATCCGCCAACTGCTTGGACCCTGCATGTGTTCATGCATCCCATTAATCATAAATGCCTAACTATATTAGCTAAGTAAAAGCACAATAACAAGTCTGAAAAAAAGATAAAGAAAAACTGCTTGGGCATGTTGTCAATTCTCAACGACAGCTGAATGCCATCATAGGCTCATAGCCAAATGCAAGAACATCTAATTCAAAAAAAACAGCCATCAATTAAAAAATGACATACATGCCAACCATTAGGATTTAGGTCCATCAATGATTCTGAGATTCCAGTTTCTAAGTCAGTGCAGCTAATGGTTCCATCAGAGGATGCACCAAATATAGTTCCATCATTGACTGAACTAAATCTGCATGGCAGAAGATAATTGTGAACCACAAGATTCTAGATAAGTATAGCTTACTCATAATAAAGAATGCCACTAAAACAGAGGAAGTGTCAACATTGACGCAAAATGTCAGCTAAGACAATGAAATTAACCTCATAGTGTTAAGTAAGCAAGAGTGAATATTTGTATAAACTCTTTTCTCGTATACTTTATCATAATCCCAGACTCCAAGTTGACCTTTCTGAAGAAAAAAGAAGGGATAGGAAGATAATACATTAGAGACATCAATAATACAAACTCAGCAATAGCAATAATCTACGGTTCTACAGAGTACCAATTAGAGATTTTAATGTTTGAAACTAACCTTATCACCAGATAAAAGTATATTATTATTAGTCGGATGGAATTCCAAACATGTAACTCGTCTACTATGGTATCTGATAACTGCTCGTGTCACTTGATCTGGTATAAGAAATCCTGGCTTGATCTAGATTACATCCGGGGGGGGGGGGGAAGGAAGAAAAATTTATAATCAGTCAGTTATGGGCTGCCAATATTTGAATGCTTAACCAACAATCATTTCATACAATGCATAGGATTTCCATTTCCACAAAGACAACCAAGTAAAACCAATAACCCATAGGATTTAAGCTACTAGAAGAGCGCATGTACTACAAAAAACTTACAGCAGGTACATGTGGCCTAAGCTGACGTTCGAAAATATAGTCCACTGAATGACGAGTACTTTTACGAGGAGCAGGAATGACACCATGCTCAGTAGCAACACGGTGAGGGCAATTCATTGTCGTATGCCCTTCATCCAAAAAACACAGAAAGACGCGTCAAAACCATCAGCAAACTACTACTCAACTCTAACTTACCCCATCCCGACCCTCAAAGGCTCAAATTCCAAAGCAATCATTCAAATGAACAGTGAAGGAAGAAAGAAATAGATTCATATTTAAAAAGGCTATGTTACTCTAACTCTTTCATCACAAGGATAACTTTGAACATTCATTTGAACAAAATTCCATTTGAAAAATCCTAGGAAGTGGAGGATTCAGGGTTTGGCACAATCATGGGAAGTTGCACTTCTAGGAATTACCATTTCGGAGTTTCGGACAAGACTAACAAATGACCAAGTCTATAACACTAAAAAAACGAAAATTTTCTACTAAGTAGTTCAAATGCACACCAAAAATTATTTGTCAACACTCAACAAAAGTGTCAACCAATTACTAACTCGTACATATAAATTCAAACCATTCAACATTTGTGTGTGTTGCACATTATAATGTTCAATTTTGTTTTGAGGTAAGTAGGTAACATTCAATCCGCCAACAAAACCATCACATTAATATGGTAACATCATACAGTAGAAAATACATTCAAACAAACTTTAATAAACTCCAAAATGAAAACCACCAAAATCTGCCAAAAAAAAAAATTAATTAAAAAAAAATCAAGGGAATAATAACAAACACTTACCAGGCAATTTGCAAAGAAAACAAGGCTTCATTGGACAATCAATATAAGTAGCCCCTTGAAACCCTGCTTGATGTCCTGACTTCTTACATACCTAATCAACCCAAAAACACAAATAGGAAAATATTAAACCCAGAAAAAAGTTCAAATTTTCAACAAAATCATAAACCCTAATGCAATTTCCCAAATTAAAAATTGGGAAATTTTCATAATTTTCTTTAAAAAAAAAAACTTACTTTGCAGACTTTTTTAAGAGAAATAGTAATGGGTTTTTTCTCTCTACTCTTAATTTCAACAATTGGTTCATCAACTTCATCTTCTTCACTATCATCAACGACGCCGTTTTGTTCATCTTCTACTTCTTCATCAGAGGAGCTTTCTTCGGAATTTTCATCCCTCTCAATCACAATCTTCGGCGACGCTGCTCTCCTTGTTCTCGGGAGCATTTTCGTCAATTCCTATTACTGCTATTTTCGCTTTCAATGGAGTTTCAGAGGAGAGAGAAACAGGGAGGAAGAGGAAGGAGGAGAGAGAAAGAGGAACAGCAACCGCCTTTACTTGGGAAAATCAATTGAGGTTGAAATTTACTGTTTTACCCTTGGTAGTTAGGGTATGATGCTGGTAGGGAGAGGGGTAAAAAGGGAAGAATGTATGTTGAAATTGGCGGGAGATGACGTGGCTTAGTTGTAACCGTGCAGATTGAGACCAACGACCCTCGGTCTCATTTTTTTTATTTTTTTTTTAACGGTAGGGAGGAGTGATTTTTATTAAATAATAAGGAGTAATAGTCATTTGGCACTTACAATCATCCCTTAATAGATTTAAATTTTCAATACAAGAATTAAACACCTATAATAGCATCGCTTCTGAACTGCTCTTGGATAATTTTAAATAATTTTGCATCGTTCTTGACGGAGCTCCATTGATATATAGTTGCAAAAGTGAAAAAACTAGATATCAAGATCTGCACATTTGCAAGACGAATCTTCTAAATCTGCACTCCTATACCAATAGATCCGCAATTTTACAAATTTGCAAGACGAATCTTCCAAATTTGTATCTCTGCACACACGAAAAACAAACAAATAAACAATATTATACATCCCATCAGGGAACTGACTAAACCCTACATAGAGGGACTGACTATAATCACTATACTGACATACTGTTGATGATCTTTATTAGCTAAAAACATTAAATTAAAGAAGAATTTGGGGCTTACCATCAATAAAAATCGATGGCAGCCCCTAAGTTTTACTATGGTGGTTAGGTTTGAAGAGATAGAACAAAGATTTTTTTTTTATTTTTTTTTTTTTGGTAATATAGATTATCCTCGATCTAATTCATAACGCTTATTTGGTACAATTTAATATAAGATAACACGTGACACATTATGAGGATTAACGCGTATTTAACAATAATAAATGCAAAAATTGTACCAAAAAAGCAATATAATATAAGATGTGATTCATTATGAAGATTTAATTGGCTTAGCAATATTGTTTTTTTTTAAAAAAAAAATAGCATAGCAATATAAAACTTGTACTGTTGTTCAAAAAAAAAATAATAACAATAATTTTACTGCATTGCAAGCACTTATCATCATGCAAATAAAATTCAAGATGCTCACTTAATTATATAAATTAATTTAATACATAGACCGAAAATTTTATAATAGTTGTTTGAAATATGACTACCATAATGTTTTAATAATTATATAGTTCATAATTGACATATTTTTTCCAAGTAATTAATTATATTACTTTATTAATGGTATTGAATATTATTATAAATATTTTTTAAATTTATCAAATTTTTAATTTCATTTATGTAATTTTTATTCTTATTTTATAGTTTCTCGCAAAATATTTATTTTATGTTGGATTAAAATTTTCAAAATTTATATTTACACTGTAGATATTATAAGATTAATTGTGGCTATTTTATAACATGAAAAAATGAACTGATCATATTATATATCATTAAAATAATATAATAGTCATTTTTCAAATGATCGCTGTAAAATCGAAATAGGGTGCTGGTAGTAAGAGGGTTGTGAAAAGAAAACATTATTGCTACGTAAGTTTAATAGTGTTTGTTGCCTTTTCAATTGATGAACTAGCTATGTTTTATAGTAGAACAAGTTTAGAGGCGCACGCAATGCGTGCACGACTATCCCCCCTCTTTATACTTTGTGCATAAAGTTATCTTTATAATTTACTTATTTGCGTATATGGCATATATATTGACATAGTTTTATTACTCCGTATTTTTTATAATTAGTAAAGGTAAGAATCCATTAAAGGGATTAGCTTTTAACCATGCAAAACAATCCTAAATTTTACAGTGCATTTGTTGTATTAGTTCTACAATTACATACATACTCATTTTTTTAAAAGGATGAATTGAACTCATTCAAGGTATTATATTTACAAATGATTAAGTAAATTTAAAGGGAATAGTCGTGCACGCATTGCGTGTGCCTCTAAACTTGTATCATTTAAATTATACATACTTGTAAAATATGTGTATAATGTAAATATTCGTACTACTAATTAAATTATAGTATGTTGCTTTTATACTTATATAAAAGTTGAAAAAACCTATGCAAACTTACAAACACCGACTTTTAAAACACCAAGTGTCAAATTTATATCATCAAATAAATATTCTCGAATTAAACTAATATACCGTCTAACATAATTACACTTGAAGGAATTATTTGATATGAGAAAAAATAACCACCATAAGAGAAGTTATCTTTTTAAATTTATGGAGTAGTTAAAAATGGAAGTTATATTTTAAGGTTAAATTTTAAATACATTTTAATTTTTTTTAATTATAATAAATATTTGTAAAGAGGGTAAAATGGTCCATCCAAAAATTTCCAACCAAAAACACCTCTTCTCTTTATATATTACATAGATTTAGTAGTACAAGTTTTTTTTTTAAGAATTGTACACTAATTTAAGTTCTATATTTATGTACTGTATTTTATTTTTGTAAATAGCACAGTTGTCACACTTGCACATTTCTCTCCTACCATCACCTCCTATGAAAGGATCATTCCACAAGCTTTTTTCCACCACCTCGGACGTGGGACGGCCACCCGCCTTGGCAAATGAGGAGGTGGAGCTGCCACCAGGGCTACGACAAGACGCAATGCCACGACACGTGGCCGTGATTATGGATGGAACTGGGAGGTGGGCTAGGCAGAGGGGGTTGCATGGAAATGCAGGCCATGCTGCAGGACAAAGGTCATTAACACAAATGGTGACTTTATGTGCAAAATGGGGCATCAAAGTTCTTTCTATTTTTGGCTTTTCCCTTGATAATTGGCGTCGTTCCAAAGTTGGTAACTTTTCCTAATATGTTATCTTTAGCCTAGCATATCGTTTGATCCTTAGTCATTATACATGAGCATTTAATTCATTGATGTTTCGCGTACATTAAAAGGTAAACTAAGTTTAATTTTTCTTAACTAGACCGAGAAGTTGTGAGTCTTGTGACATTTTGTGTTGGGTTTATAAAACTAAAAGCCTAGCACCAATTAATACACATCTGACACCATACGATGTCGTGCAACATCACTTAGATCCTCCAATAAATACAACTTGAAGATCCCTTGAGATTACTTAGTTAAAAATTGACTAGTTTTTGCTCCGACTAAACTCCATTATTAGCCAATCAATCAGCCACATGATTAACTTTTCTACAATTATGTCCAATGGTGACCTTCCATCATTAAGTACAATGAAAGCTTTAAATTTTCGGATATCTAAAAGCTAAGGCCAACATTATGTAAGCTACTTAAGCTTGAATTTGTACATCAGTATGTACCACGTATTCATTTTAAATTATATAAGTACTACAAGAAGATTACATTTGCCATGAACAACCGAACAAACACCAATCACACACCAATCACAAATTCAAACGTGATTAGTTTAAGTATGGAAGGACTAATACATCAATTACATGTCCTTTTAACATATTGTGTGAATATTCAATGAGAATACATATCTTTCTTCCATCACTCTCTATAATTACTACGAAGTACTCCGTATATTATACGGAGGGTAGGTGATTTTATTTTTGTCTGATTTTGTATTTGGCAGATGATTATAATGATTAATGAACAATGTTTTAATGACTGAAATTCAACCACAAATGTTTTTTAAGAATTCAACTACTTTATACTATTACCTTCGTTTTTTATTATGTGCAACAAAGTAATATTTTATGTATTACAAATAATTTTTTTTTTGTTGCACATAATAAGAAACAGAGTAATATTTTGTATTGCGTGTATATTGATTCTAATCAGTGTAGTCGCAATAAAACACTGGGCTTCATATGGCCAACAATCCTTGGCCCAAAAATAACGGGAGTCATAAATGCACGTCCCTAAATTAATGATGGCTCGGCCCCACAACCTCACTTGTCAAATAAAGAGATTTTGCAACGTGATATATACAGGCAAACACCCACATCTAAGTATTTATATTTAAGATATTACAGATAAGGATGTTAGTGGGGCGGGTCAAATAGGAGATCCGCCCAACAGAGTAGAGATGGGTCTTGGTTTGACGGGTGATGGGGCGGGGGTAGATTTTAGGTTGTACCCGTCATATCCCCGTCTCACCCCACTTCGCACCCGCCCCATCCCCACATCCATATATTTTTAAAAACAAAATTATATACTTTTATATTATTGTATAAAAAAAATTATGTAAAATAAAATAGTAAATACAATACTTTGTAATACACTTAAATTATAAACAAAAAAAATGTGTAATATTAACAATAATTTTTTTCTTTTTGCAATCTTTATTAATTATGAAGGATTGTGTATTAGGGAGGCGGGTCTTAGGTGGGGATGGATATTCAAGTGGGGGTTGGGGCAGTGATGGTTTTGAAATTGTACCCGTCAGGGGCGGGAATGAGGATGAATTTTAGACTCGCCGCGGGGATGGGGATGGGGATGAATATGAAAATTTTAGATGGGGATGGGGATGGGAAGGCTAACATCCGCTCTGTCCCATTGACATCCCTAATTACGGAGTATTAGTTCTAAATCCTATGGAGTAATAAAGAACATGTGTTTTTATATGTTTATTAGTAATAGTACAATGCAAAGGAGAAAGGAGGTTTTGAATCTTATATGTCTTCTTGTGAATTCAATTTAATGGGGGCATGCTCTTTTCCCTATTTTCATCCCTCAAACTTCTAAAATTTCTACGTTTTATGATCGTAAAACATAATACAAAATATGAAATGCGCGAGAACATGTTCACTAGGAAAAACACGTATTGCATTAGAAAACAATGATGAATAATAACTAGGGTTACTATACGAAACAATATCAGATAATCTAATACTTGTACTCCCTCCATTAATTTTTAAGTGCAACTTTTGCCATTTTAGTCCGCTAACAAATACGTGCAACTTTCTATTTTATTTCTATTTTTGGTACACAAAAACCCTGAAAAATTACAAATGTACCCTTACTTAAAAATTCAGATTTTCTTAATTTTACCCTTATCTTATTTTAATCACAATAACCTTTTTAATCTAATCTAAAATTATTAATCTAATTCTACCCACCCCAAGTCTACCCACCACTTATTCATCTCTTTCTTCAACCTCTCTTCATCTCCTTCACCCTGTTCATCTCTTTCACCTTCAGCCTCTTCATCCCTCCTCCCTCACGAGTCACGACCACCGCCCCTCACACCACCATTCTCTCTCCTATTACAGTAAGCTAGTCTCCCCTCACACCACCGCCCCTCACACCGCCATTAACCCACTCTCTTTCCTTTCAAATTTCTCTGTAAAACTAACCCATAAAAATGGGGTGTACAACTTCAAAGCTCGACAACGAAGACATCATTCGCCGCTGCAAAATGGGATCTACAGTTTGATTTGTTTCGTTTTTCATTTTTGTTTCGTGTTTTTATTGTTGATTATTCTAGATCTACCATTTTTATTGTTAATTTTCCGTTTTGTAAGCTTCTTGTATTTTGTATTGTATTTCTATTGTTAATTTTTATTGTTTATTATTGTAGATCTACAATTTTGTATTTTTTTTTTCGATTTTTTTGGGTGATTTATCTTCGAATTTCTGGGTTTTTTTTTGGATTTTGTTCGATTTTTTGGGTAAGAGTTAGTGTGGTGAGTTGGTTACGGTGGGGTGAGTGGGTGGGTGGAGCTGCCGGATTTTTGGGAGGTCTGGGTTAGAGGTGGGTCTAGGGCGTGGGTTTTTTTATGGATTTTGTTCAATTTTTTGGGTAAGTTTTGCCTCGTGAACTGCAATTTGCCCCAAAGTTGCACTTAAAAATTAACGAAGTACTTCGTATAAATTATCAATGTGTTCTAATGACTTTGTCGCTGCCGTCACGGAGGATGACGCCTCTTGTTGTCATTGACCAAACTGTCAAAATTGAGCTTATTGAAGATAAGAGGAGGATGGAGCATCTCATGCGACCAAGATAAAATTGGATGGAGATGTGAGAAGTGACTGAATCTCATTAGCAAAAACACGGTGAAAAAGGGGAACCGACATGAGTTATGTATTGCCACTCACATAATTTCAAATCACAAACCAGTTCTAAACATTTACTCCATATGTAATTTCATATAAATATAAATCGGTAAACATAACATGTAATAAAATTGATTTGCACCACATAATATGACATTATCACCTCCCTAAACATGTGGGCATAATTTTTGAAGTTACTACCACGAAAAATTAATGCCTCATCAAATTATAAAAAAAATAAAAAAATTAGCCACTTAATATAAGAATTTGGACGAATTACGCTACTTCAAAAACACATTCCTTTGACATTGACCTTAGTAAACTGTTAGTTTAAATGTGGCGGCAAAATCAACTAATTTTGCACAATAGTTTCAACAATTAAACCAACAGAATCAGTCATCAGTCTTCTGAAAACAGAGCCAAAAAATGTTATCTCTCCATCTTTCACCCACAACCACTTTCTCTCTCCTAAAATCCAACCCTCAAAAACCCACAAATCAATTCTTCTTACAATTTCACCCTTTAATTTCTTCTTTTTCTTCTTCCTCCAAATTAGATAAGCATCCTATCGCCACCGCCTCGGCGGCTCCCACTATGGGACCCGCCGTGGCGATGGAAGAGGAGCTGCCACCGGGGCTGCGGCACGAAGCGATGCCGCGGCATGTGGCGGTGATAATGGATGGGAATGTGAGGTGGGCTCGGCAAAGAGGGTTGCCTGGTGGTGCAGGGCATGAAGCAGGGGTGAGGTCATTGAGGCGGATGGTGGAGTTGTCTGGTAAATGGGGTGTCAAAGTTCTTACTGTCTTTGCCTTTTCCTATGATAATTGGGTTCGCCCACAAGTCAGTACTTTCTTATCCTTTTGCTCACCTACGTGTCTTGATTTTTTTAGATGACATGTTTTGACTATGCAATGTCAATCCGAGTGAAATATGATCATATTTATTGTTAAATTTGTTTTGATATATTTTTTAACTTTGTATTTAGGATGTTAAAATTATTTGAACTATGATTTTGTTGGACTAATAGTGGCAACTAACCAAAATTAACGGGTATTCCCAAATGCAGGTAGAAGTTGATTTTTTAATGAGCTTGTTCGAGAGAGGAATTAAATCTGAATTAGACAACTTTATCAGGTAGGTTATGGCATGTCCTCCTTTAAACACCCCCTTCAAATCCTTGTCTGATTCTAATTGTTCGTCTTGATTAGGAAATTAAATTATGTATTATGGTCATTTATGGATGATTTTGATTGAATTTAGTTTGAATATGTTGACTACTAATAGGATTCTACTCCTCTTGTCAAAAAAAAAAAAAAAGGATTCTACTCTCTATTACTAAAACGGCTAATCGATTGGGTGCAAAATCAATTCAATACGTACAATTCGTGTCTCATTTCAAAAATAGATAACAAGCCTCGTATTTCATTTTATAGACGGTTTAGAATAGTTAATACGTGATCGAAGAAGATTTCTTTTGCAAGATTATTTGGCAAGAGAAACTCATATTATCCTCAAAAAAGATTGTGGTTCACCAAATAAATATATTAGTACAGAGTTTTTAAAATGGATTCGTTTTTTTTTTTTTTTTTTTTTGGTTCTTAGCAGTTAGCTGCCCTATATTGCTCTCACCTAGTACAAAGACTTATGGATTAAGACCCTTTTGTCTTAGCAACTAAATGACATACTACTAGAACTTTCTTTTCACTCTTGAGTCTCGACGGTCTAGCCACTTCCAATCATTGTCATAGTCATCACCTTCGCGATTGTAGATATAGACTAGAGCTGAATTTTATCGAAATTCAAGACCACGAAAAAAGGAAAATAATATGTATCAGATAACACTTTGTTTGGCTAATAATATTTGGTTGAACAGGCAAGGTATCAGGATATCAGTAATTGGAGACACTTCCAAGCTGCCCATATCCTTACAAAAATTGATAGCTGATGCAGAAGAGACCACAAAAGATTTCACAAACTTCCAACTAATTGTTGCGGTTAGCTATAGTGGGAAATACGACATCATACAGGCGTGTAAGAACATTGCTCAGAAAGTGAAAGACGGTGCTGTGGAAGTGGAAGAGATTGATGAAGGGTTGATTGAACAAGAACTCGAGACTAACTGTACTGATTATCCTTACCCTGATCTGCTGATAAGAACTAGTGGTGAGCTGAGGGTCAGTAACTTCTTGCTTTGGCAACTGGCTTACACTGAGCTGTTTTTTGTGAGGGCTCTTTGGCCTGATTTCGGAGAAGAGGAGTTTGTAGAGGCCTTGATGTCGTACCAGCAAAGAAGTAGACGTTATGGTGGAAGAGAAGTACAAGAATCAAGTGCTAATAGTCGATGATAACGATGAAAAACTTGCTAATAAAAGAGGTTATTCTATATAATTAAGCTTAATAGAGAGTTCAAGCAATACCCATCCTGCAGAGAAGATTGTTAAACATGCAGATAGTTGGGTGTATATTGTTACTATGGGAAAAAGAAAAAAAATAAAATCCCTTGGCCAAATATTTTGGAATCAGAATTACCCTTAATGTAAACATAAACGAGAAATTACTGCATCTTGTCCTAGAATAAAATTCTTATAATGTATATAAGTTATAATAATAACATGAATTTGGTATTGAGGGCTTGAGGCTCCTAACTTTGGCAGTATGACAGAAGTGTGTTTTTTATAATTTATCTGTGCCGTACCTGATTATGGCTATAGCAAATTAAGATTAGATATCTTTTTAGTTTTTTGCATAACTGGTGCCTGGTGCTCTGGTCCAGGCCATGGCTAGGAAATCCAATCGAGGATATCAGGCCTGATCATACGTGTTCAGCTTTAACTGTTTTCTGAGTTATTTCTCTGAATACTTGCTGCTCAATTTATCAGTTTAAGCATTAACAGCAAGAAGTGCAGTCCTGAAATAACTAATACAGAGTTCGCTCCTTTAACTGGTGGAAGAACTCATTAAGCATAGTATAGCTTTCAAGCACATTAAAAGTTAAACTAATTTTAAGGAGCCTCATTCCATTTGTTAATTGATCATTCAGTCAAAAAATTTACATTGCATCCTACTGTATCATGTTTCCCTTTAATATCCTAATAATCTTTGAGTCGACTATAACATCAATGAATGAAATATTCATCAACAAAAACTAAGCATACCTCCACCACCTTCGTTCTCAGCATGTTTCATCCATCACACTCTCCATGGGAACACAGGATGCAGCTTTTGGTTCTAGTGTCTTCCTTGCATCCATTGCTATATCAAGGGAGAGTCCTGTTATACGAAATTACAAAATAACCTTAAAACCAAAACAATAAGCTTCAATTTCATATCAACAAGTTTCTCGCAACACTTCCCAGTTCAAAGTGGTTTTGTTGCACACTAATTGGAACTCATAATCTGTCTCGTTTCTACTACATTACTACCTATGCAGGAGAAACAGAAACACCGAGCATAGTATTAATGGAAAGTTTTACAGTCTGCAGCTGAAGCGATTCAGACTTTTCACAATGAAGTCTTCAGATGTGCAAATGATCAGTTCGGCCATTGGATCCTTTTTGTACATTCCTGAATAAACATCTCATTTTTCACTGGCTGGATGCAAACTGTATTAATCACACAAGATCTTTTTGATAATTTACACGAAATGATCAAAATGCAAGTAGATGATTGAAAACAAGGGAGATCTAAAGCTCCAAGTTTCCATGATAAGGTATTGACTTCTTTGAAAAAATTAAGGTGTAGGATTTTAGTGGATGCAATTACTTCTAAAGCAACTTCATTTTTATAGTTTGGTGTTACTTTTGTCTTTTTAGCAGAAAGCTTGGTCCATGCGTAGCACGAGGGCTCTTAAAGCAGGATCATTCATGCCAAAAAACATGCTGTATAAATCAGAATGCTAATTAACATTTAGAAACTGTAGGAAAAAATCTCTAGCATACAAGTACTATTTTAGCATCTCCGATAAAAATTATCACCTTTCCTAAAATAGTATTAACTTATGATTATATGTCTTTCTAACTTTTCTATCCTCGGATTTTGTTAGAGTAGAGATTATAAATGTAGACAAGACATGCAACCTATATGTTCATATCTAAACTTCTCTCATCAAGACTGTCAAAGCTTACTTGATCCAACTTACCTCTGTTACCCAAGAATAAAAAAAATGGTTCTTTTTGTGAATTCATGTTTTACATAACTAATTAGTTCAACCCCCTTTTAATTTTATATTTTTTCTGGTTAAAAGATTGGATTTTAACAAGATTGTTGTATTAAATACACCAGCAAACTTTCAATGATGAACAAAGTTACTGAATAGCAAGTATATCTGTTGTATATGTACAAGAGTGTGGCCCTTTTTAAAAAGAAGAACTGATTTTTACACTAAAATAGCATCATAAATTTAAATGCTTCCATGCATTTTTTCACAGTGCTTTATATTGTCCATCAAAATTCATCATGTTCTTCTCCATTATCTTTCTGATTATAAACTTAATCAACTCCCTTGATCAGTGTTTCACCTCATCATTATATCCTCCTGCAGAACCCCCTTTTAATCCGCCAGGGAATGGCGTTATCATGTTCTCAGCGTCCCTCATCCATCGTAGCTCACCAGAATCCCCCTTCTATGACCCCAACTACACGCGAGAGAAGCACATACAGGAAGGGGTCCGCACCTCTGTAGCACGAAGCCGCTACTTCAGCCAACTCAATACATTGACAAAAGACTATGTCGCAGCCCCAGTTTCTGGCTGGAACTTGCTTATGAAATACACCATGGGAACACCAGCATTCAATAGTTATGGTATCTTTGATACTGGAAGTAGTTTTACCTGGGTCCAATGTCGCCCTTGCGTTCATTGCTATAAGCAAGGAAATTATCCAATTTTTAACCCACAAAACTCATCTACCTACCGACAAATCCAATGTAAAGACCAAGAGTATTGTTCCATGGCACCTGGACATTCTTGTGGAAGCTCTACTACTGAAGACCCTGACTTTCCCTTCTGTGTCTATCATGCTTCCTACATGGACAGATCATCAAGAGGAGTAGTCTCGACGGAAACACTAACTCTGTCAGCCGAGAATACCTCAAGGACCTTGAGCAACATGGTTTTTGGTTGCGGTCATGACAACCACGATAAAAGCCATAGTCCAGGAATTGTAGGTGTAGGCAACAATACTGCCTCCCTCATTCGACAATTAACTGTCTCTCATTTCTCTCACTATGTGTTTGCCAATGGGACGCACATACGGGGGGTAGCACACTTTGGGCCTGGAGCATTCACATCAGACGTTGGGATGACAACACCCCTTTTACCCAATGATTATGGCCTGTACTACCTAAACCTAACAGGGATCAGTGTGGATGGAACAGAAGTGAACCTTCCAGATGGGATCTTTGAGAAATCAATAGATAAGAACGGTACAGAAGTCGGATTCATCATTGACTCAGGGGCCTCATATACAATGCTTAGAGCTGAAGCTTTTGATATCTTGGTGAGTGTTATCATGGATTTCATGTCTGAGCAAACCCCTGAGAGCACTGAGCACTTCGAGTTATGCTACAGGGATATCAGTGATGCTCCTGAGGTGGTTTTCCACTTTAATGGCCTTGACTACATGTTATGTGATGCAAATTTATGGATAAGGCACTCAGGGTTATATTGCCTGGCTATGATCAGGCTCAAAGAAAGAGAGGGTAAGGTATCGCTACTAGGATTTCACCAGCAAAGGAATGTTCACATTGGGTATGATCTGGAGAACAACTTGCTCAGTTTAATCTATTCAGGAGCTTGTCCTGATGACGCTGCCGATTTTCTGCAAGGGTGAAGGCAGCATTTACTGTTTACAATAACTACATATAACACTCCAATGACAAGAAGTTGATGCTGAAAGCAGAAATTTTACAAGTAAACCAGATCCTTGTGCTTAATATCTCACATTTAGGGGTGTTGATATAATACAGATGTAAATAACTGAAGTCCTCAAAATATTCAGGGGAAATCTGATTTTTATGCTAGAAGTTGCCTAAAAATAATGATCAAAACTGGTATAATGGTCTTAACTCGCAACAAAAGAGAGTACTTTGATTAATGTTTTGATTAAGTCAGTTTTTCCCCTCTACATGGAATCACTTGCAAGAACTTACAACCATACCCCATATTGCTGCCCATCAAAATTCCATCCACCAAGGCACCAATTAATTTCACTCACAATGATACAAAATTAGAACTTCATGTAAAACCAAGCAAAAGACAGACAAAATGAGAACGTAAGAAACACAAAATTGCGATCTATTAGACTATATATTGAATTAACTGTACATTAAAAACTTCGAACAAGCGTGATAATTAAATGTGCCAATCATAGGATGCAGACCCAGGATATGGATCCACGAGGGGTAACTTATCTAAATAAATGAACAGCCGGTTTAAATTCTCCCTCATGATAACTGATAAATCAACAACATCACGGTCACCAGTGTAAACCCAAAGGTCACCTGACTTGACTCCTCTTAGACAATCCCGACAGAAAGGGCAAGATTGAGACCGAGTAGACCTGCATTGAATAAAAGAAGAATCCAGCATCAGATTCCCATATCTTGTAATGGTGATCTGAAATCTTCAAAAACAGAATTAACATTCCCGATTGATCCAAAGATCCAACATGACAGCCACTAGGTCTACTAATGTAACACAATAGCTTTCATGACTCAAAAGATGTTTTTGGCTGGACAAGTAAAGAATGTTCTTAGAAACTGTGATTAGTATGGTTTCCTAAACCTCAATGTCCCTCACTTCAGTCTTCCCCCTTAATTTTTTCCTCTTCTCTCACTATCTTTTTTTTTTTTTTTTTTTTTTTTGGTTTGATAATCCTGTAAAAAAAGACTGGAAAGATGGGTAGACAGACATTTAAAAAGAAATCCAAGGTACCAACTGCAGATCAAACATATGGCTAGGGCATGAGCTATAAAGAGTGGTTGAGTGATCTGATACTCTGATATCTGCACTGGTTTCTCCCCTTTCAGCATAGAGCTTGCAAAATAAGACAGATCCAACAACCGAGAAAGAAAACAGAGAGCTTACCAGTCTTTGTAACACTTGAAACACAGAGAGTGGTTGCAATTAGGCAGCACACCCTTGTCATTAATTTCCATGCAGATGCCACACTCCGCTTCTATCTCGTTTTCTAGCTCCATTGATTCAGACTTCTCACACGTATCTTTTCTTCTATACCTCTGGGCACATACTTCCTTTTGTTTTCTATCGTCCAATTCTGTAATTCCTGTTTGCAGTTGCAGCAGGGAAGGGAAAATCACACCTAACACACCAAGAAAAATAATTCGCTCATTAACTTCAAAACCTTACTAACTGACTTGCCTATCCCACTTTTTCCACTCCCACTCACACCCCTCCACAACCAAGAAATTTAAAATAATAATAATAATTAAAAAAAAAAAAAAAAGGTAGTAAAATGGAAACAAGAGAAATTGAGAAAAGAAGAAGTTTGAATTTTGAGTATCAACTTGGAATGTATGATAAACATCTTCATTTATGACCCACCATAAAACTGTCGAATGCTTGCTTTCTTTTCATGGACAGACATAGTAGTTTTCCCATCTTCATAAGTCTGCACATCAGCCAAATTGTGAATAAGTGACAAATTCCAATCCATAGGGTATTTGACACTCAGAAGTTTTAACCTTAAATTTCCTAATATACAATTTGTAAGAAAAAAGGTGATCATAAGCAGATACTACGCATGTATACCATAAAAATTAGAATTCTGAGTAGCCCAAGGGCACCAGCAAGGTAACAGTCAGTCCACTGAACAAGGAAAAGAAATAAGTGAGCTGCTGGGCTGTAGGATAGTCTCATCTGGAAGCAAGCGCCATCAGGCTGTCTTCTGTACCCTGAAGCACTAAGAGAAAGAAAAAAGGAGGGTGTGAGATAAATTCAATTGAAATCTCAGCATACATCTTACATCTTACAACGCATAGTTGGTTGCACTGAATGGGACCAATTAAATGACATTATTTATGTGAATAAAACCAAGAACCAAAATTCAACACATCCATCGAAGTAAACATGGAAAGGTTTAAACAAGGTATCTCATACTAGTATATACATTTCTATCATATTGTAAGGAGAAATGAGCATCATGGCACAACTTCTTGTCTGTATGACATACTGGGTTCTGGAAGAAATTACTGGCTTCATTCCCTTGTCTAGCTTATATTAGCACTAAACATAATTTTACACACTTTCCTCTTTGGACTATTGAAAGAGGTCTCATGCCAAAGACCTAGAATATACTTTGTACTTGACAAGCCAAAAACAAAAGCCTCAGAATATCAGTTAGTTGGTTCATGAAATCAACAAGTAAATAAAAAAATTTAAAAAAACTCACTCAAAATCGGAACATAAATTACATTTACTTCACTATCAGATCTCAGGTCAAATACACAAAATGCTTCTTTGCAATATGGGGTATTAGATATTAGGTATTTGCTTCCACATGTAAATACCATTAAAAGCTTATTTTCCAAAAATCACTAGAAAAATTTTCTCGCATTTTAACTACACTTGTCAACACTCCCCTCTCTATTCCTGATGCACTAAATTACCAATTCCACACCACCAAACAGGATCGGTGAATCGCACAACTACGACAAAAGACTACCAATTCAATTTCCTGGTTTTTACCAATAATAAAATTCAATACAGAACTGTAAAGGTAAATGTACCTCGGTGGCTGCTAAGCTAGCTTAACATGTCATTCTTTTTTTCGCACAATGTTTATTTCAAGCAATCAAGCCTATCTATCACACTACCCTTCAACCTCATATTTGCAAACAACCCATATAGTCGATCAATTTCCAAAACCCAGCTTAATAAAGCGTTTAAACGTTTTTGCCATAAGAAATTATGCATGCATTCACCAATTAGACAAATCAAATTCAGCTTCATATGAATCAATTTGATATATACTTGTATAATACAATCAACAAAGATTTTGCAATCAAAATTCTGCAAATTCTATTTTATATATTTTCACAAATCCATGCAAATACAATTGACAGATAAAAGAAATTAATCAAGCAATACAAAATTAAGAGCACATCAAATTATTTCTATAACTAGATTCAAGCTTACGTAACAAAACACAATCAAATTCAAACTAACACAATCAAATTCAAATCAACATAATCAAAATCAAATTAAAAAAAAAAAAGGACAGAGAGTATAAAAATTACAGAGTATTAGCGTGCTGAATATCAGCTTCAAGAGCTTTAACAGATTCTCGAAACGATTTCTTCATCTTCATCACCAATCATACCAATCACTACCAATTCACCTAACAAAATCACTACGAAAAACCTTCATACAAAAAAACTTAAACCAAAAATTCAAAAAAAAAAAAAAAAAATCAGTGTTACTTGATAATCGAAATCAGAAAGAGTATTATAAATTAGGGAGAAATCAATCATAAACCCTAGACAAAAATCAAAAACCCTAGAAATTGTAGAAATCGAAGAAACTTACTTTATCACAATTCACGAGACGTTGAAGAGAGAGAGAAAGAGTGTGTATGAGAGTGTGGGATATTTCGTCGCCTTCCATAGAGGAGGTGAGCCAAGGTAGTTGTAACTTCTAAGCCTATTATATTTTTATTTTATTTTTCGATTTTTTTTAAATGTAAAAAAATAAAGTTGCTTGGGCAGTAATAAAAAGGTTAAAACGCAGCGTTTTATGGTATTTGCTGGAAAAAAAGGGGGGGGGGAAATATGGAAAGTAGTGTATTTTTCGTTATCCTTTTCTTTCGGCAGACGTTATTAGGACGTGGCGCTTTGTATTTTGGTAGTTTGTGTTTTGGCAATCTTAAGGAAAATTCCAACTCAAATTAAGGAATTTTTTATTAAAGTTAATCCGATGTGTTGATTTGATAAATCTATCCTATAATTAATTGGCTAATGACATCTAGCTCGGGTCAAGATGTTTGAACAATTTTATTTTTTTTACATTGACTTTTTTTTTTTTTTTTGAAATGTATACATTATGGTTTGATTTGTTTAGTTGCATCAAGTCCAAGTAAGATTCATTAGAGAGCTTACAAAAGTTTCCTTTCATTAATAATTTTGTTATACAACCTTTGTTTCCTAAATATTGCATCAATTATGTTTTAAGGAAAAATTTACAATTACGGTTTAATTACATAAACTTAATTATGATTTTGTAATCTATATCATTATTTATTTTGTGTGAAATTAAAGGAGTTTAGTTGCATCAAGTCCAAGTAAGATTGAAATCATTAGGCAACTGATAAACATTTCCCTTGAATATTAATTTTTTATTTTATTTAATAATATGGTAATTATACGACCTTGGTTTCCTAAATGTTGCACCAATTATCTTCTAAGAAAGTTTTTTACAAATATTACACAATTTCTTTAAACTCCTTTAATTTCACACAAAATATATAATACCTTTACTAAAGCATTTTAGCCTTACAATTTCTTACTTACTTCCGGCTTATATGTATTTCACCTTCTATATGCTTTATCCAGTATCCACTTCCTAACAACTTGTCTTCCATGGTGCAATATTAAAAGAGCAAATAAAGTATAACTCAACATGACAATATGAGGATCCTTTAAAAAAAAAAAAAAAAAAAAAATCTAGTTACAGACATTTATATTTTATTTGTTTAACACTATTTAGACTAACGATACCTTGTAATGTTGTACACTAATCATAGTTGTAAATGCATGTTGGAAGGAGATAGATCATTTGATTTTCTTACATCAGATTTATTTTGGCATTTTTATACTTGATTTTGACATTCTAATATCAACTTTTGACATTGTTACATCTGCTTTTAACATTCTAATCAAAACACAAAAGAGTCATCAAGAATGATCTAGGAAATTTTATGTAGATGGGACTAGATTTGTGGGTTGTGGCTGGCTTCGAACTCCTAATCTACATTCAATGAAATATGAGCTAGAACCAAATTTGCCAAGTAACCTTGCCTTTCATTCTAGAACCAAATAGTGAAGGTTGGTGGCAGCGCACGTTAAAGGCGGTTGTGGCAGGCAGATTCATGGGGATTGATTGATTGTGGTAGTGAGTGTTGGTGAAAGAAGAGGAGACGAGCGTGTCGGCATCGTCGTCTTCTTCGAGGACAACTATGGTTGAAGGTTAATTAATGAAAGAGAATGTTTAGACGACTCACGGTGTGCCCATTTTACACAATACCTTTTCCTTTTTTTCAAACAAATAATTAAGTTCAACAAGTATAAATTAACTACGGGTACAACAACAACAACAAAACCTTACTACCAATATAATTTAAAATCATTTAACATGAATTGTCATAAGAAACATTCAAAAAGGAACAAGTATAAATTAAGCAAAAATAAGTCATATTATTCAATAAATTTTATCCAAATTAAGTTTAAATAAGTCATCGACTGAACCCAAAGTTTAATACTCCATTAGAAATCGATTCGTTATCATTCCTCGGATGACACACGGTCAAATAAGAATAAGCCATTGACCCCTCTTTCTCCCCTAAGTCAAGACATCATTTAACAATGTTTGCTACGGGGACCCAAAATTAGTTGTGAAGACACCAATTCACCATCTAAAAAACTGGGTAAAAAAAATTCAAGCATGACACTACACTGCCTTTTCCCACTCTTTCTTTCGGTTGGTTTTTTTTATTTATTTTTTTAATCATTGCTGTTACGACTTTTTTTTTTTTTTTTTTCTCACCCTTTTTTTACATTGACTACACTCCACTATATTTTTCCCCCAAAAAAACTGGAAAATTTTCTCATAAAATCTACTATTTTCTCTGCTCTTTCATTCTGAGAAGGCAATTTTCTCAAAAAATCAGCTCATTTTTGAAGAATTTGTAAACAAATCCAGGTAATTCTGGTATTAGTACTAAGTACCAAGTAGCTTTATTTATTTACTTATTTTTTGGCCGTTCTGGGTTTTTAATTGGGCATGCAAAGTAAATTTTATGTTTGATGTTTATATTTTTTTTGGGTGTTTTGCATTTCATACTATGCTAGTTCATCATTGATATTTAATTTGATTTTGAGCACATTTGCTCCTGCAGTTATAATGTATGAGTTGAATGATCTTACTTTTAAAGGAATTAGGTTTAATTGTTTAATTAATTAGTGAAACAGAGAATTTATTTGAGAATTCTGATGCTTATTTGTGTTGAATCAACTAGTACCTTTTGGTTTACTTGATTTCAGCAAAAGTGTAATGTAATGCAATGTGGTTCACTGGTTCATTGTTGCTTGCTATGGTATTGATTAGCAATTGTAGGGAGATTAGAGCTTTATAATGTGGTAACTTGCTTACTGGATCATATGGTATGTATGTTGATGATTATTGTGTGAATTATAATAGGTTTTGTCGTCACGAGGAAATGTGGGTGTGAGATGTAGTCAAATTGAGGGAAGAAACACGTTCGTTAATGGCGATTTGTTCCCCTAAATGCTTGACTGAGAGTTGCATTGTGGAATTACATGCACTTTACCATTTTAGTTGATTTATTTCCTCAAACCATACCATTTATGCTTCATTTATTATTTTTCTTTAAGGAGCTTAGTATAGAGAAAATTGTCGGCCTATTGACAGTTTATGTAATAATCAACAATTATTTACTACGTGTTTGGTGACGAGATCAAGAGGGAAGGGATGGGTGGGAGAGGGAGGATACATTTTTCTTTATTTTTATAGCAGTAATCGGGTTATATAGGAGAAGGGAAGTAAGAGAATAAAAAGATTTTATCTATTATTTAGGGAAGTAAGAGAATAAAAAGATTTTATCTATTTTTTTTTTTTTTTTAATAATCTCTTTTATTGTAGACTTTTAAAGATAGGGAAGGAGAAGGCACCCTTCCCTCATCTTCCTTCTACTCACCAAAATAGTTTTTGTTGATGATATATCTATGGTAGTTTGGTTTATGGAAAGGAAGCCACGTGATGTAGTGCATGATAATACATGGGAGCTCCAAATCTTTATGATACTCAAGGACAGTATTTTCTGTGCCTTTTGTTTCATTATAACTTCATCATGTAAACTTGTTACTTTGTACAGTGAGCACCAAATTTGGGCTTACTGTTAAGTTTTTTGAAGGAATATATTGAGCTTGTTAACACATTGTTAATGATGATTATTTCTGTGATGCAGCATTTGGGTATTGGGCTGATGGTGGTTAGAGAGTTTGGTCTCTAGATACAATGTCTCGTTTTGCTAAAGATGTAGATGTTGCTTTTCAGGGTGCTGGAACAAAAATGTATCCTTTCATGTGCTTGGAAATAAAATATACCAAGTATATCCTGTACAATTTTTTTAATAGTGGTTAAGATTTCGGTGTTTGGTGGTTCTTGTCCTAAATGGCTAAATCTCACATTGTGCTCCTATAAATTTTAAGTATTCTCTCCTCTTTGTTCATAGGCTGCATTTCTTGGTGTGTGAGAAGTTGATTTTGGATTTGGAAGAATAACGTGAGATTCTGAAACACTGGATCTAATATAAAATCAGTTAAACTGACCAAGATGCTAAATTCCTTGGCCTCATGTTAAAGTGTATTCAATAACTATGTTAAGGCTACGCTCCTTGTGCTTAATGCGTTGAAGATTTAAGCGACATTGCTGCTTAGATATGGCTACATTGGCTAGATGATTCCAGAGAAACTATGGAGGCCATACTAATTATCTTTTCTATAGTAGTTCACTACCATTTATAACCTATGCTGTTCTGAATACTCCTATTTTGTTTCTGATTTCCTTGACCTGTGTTTAGCGGTCTAGAAGTTTGGTGTGTTGAGAATCTCAACCTGGTTCCGGTACCGAAGTCATCTCATGGCAATTTTTTTTCAGGGAGTGCATATTTGATTTTAAATGTAAGTTCTTTGTATTGATTGGTTGCGGGGTCTTCATATTAAATATAGTTGCTCTGGGTTGGGTGTTATTTTGCTTACCTTTTCATTTAATTCCATGAACAAGAATTATGGTTACATTCATGCAGGTTCATTATAAGCGTTAAATATTTTTTGCTTGGGGTTTCATTAATTGCAGTTTGAGTTCTGATTAAGGTTACGCTCTTGCTTATTTGTTTCACCTTTAATTTTTTCTCTTTTGAGGCAGACAATTGTGCTGAAAGATGGAATACTTGAACATGATGTACATTACTGGCTTGGAAAGGATGCAAATGAGGTTTGGACCCTTTCTTCCATTTTCTAGATTGCCTTAAAGTGTTTGCACAACCAATGTTGTTCTAGCTTAAATGATCTTTTGTGGAACAACGGTTTTCTGCAATCTACACTGAGCTAGTTGTTATTCTCATGAAGGTGGATTCACTGATGGTCTCAGATAAAGCGCTTGAATTAGATCTGGCCTTAGGATCTTGCACTGTGCAATACCAGGAAAAACAAGGTCAAGAGTCAGCAAAATTTTTGTCATACTTTAAACCTTGTATTATTCCTTGCGAAGGAGTATATACGTCAGGACCAGAGAGGTCAGATAGAGGCACATACCATATGACCTTGTTAGCATGCAAGGGTGAGCGTGCCATTTCTGTCAAGGAGGTTAGACTTATTGAAGCTTCAATCTATATTGTGTATGACCTTTAAAAGCCTTCTACAATATGCTCTTTCAAAGAAAATTGAGCCATAATCTGAGAATACAGAATAGTTCCTTCAAATAATCACCTCTAAAGTTTAGTGTTCAATTTTTGAACTAACATCCAAAGTATCTAAGTTATTTCAGAAAATGAAAAAGAAAACTCATTTTTACAAAAGCTTCATGTTGACTAATGTGCACGACACAGCCAGACATTATTAGCTGGGAAATGCTGAGAGAACACTAGTCCCTAAACTAACATACATTAATACAGGGCATACTAACCAAAAACCTTTTACGCAGAGATCTAATTGAAATTCATTTCTGAAAACACTAGTATTCAATTATTCATCCTATTAGTATCCAAGCACAAAGGTATCCAATTACCAGTAAGAACCACACTTCTATGTTTGGCAAAACATCATTTGGTTTACTGTCATCAGATCTTAGCGGTGGTTATTAGTCCAATTGATTTGTCTAAAGTTTAAACATTTTTTATTGGCTTGCCAATTAAAGATGCCATTAGTCTTTAGTAATTATGCCACCGACCACTTCATTTCCTATCTGTCAGTAATTTTGAGTTGTTTTTAGTAGTAATAAGTTTTTATGTAGGGTCTCAATGGTGGTTGTTAGTTGAATGTAATTGTTGACATTGTCTAAAATTTGTATCAACTTATGTTGGCTTGCCTCTTTAAAGAAGGAAATAGCATTCTTTAGTGATTTAACTGCCCACTTCACTCTCTAGCAGCCTTGCTGTCAATAGCATTGAATTGTATTAAGGATTTATTTATTTATTTTTTCATGTTGATTTGGGTGGAATGGCAAGAAGGGTTTAAAATTTGCTGATTTTTCAGTGTAGGATGTCTTTAGTATTAATACTGATTGTAACATGTGACACACTGACACGCAGGTGCCATTTTCACGGTCATCTTTTAATCATGAAGATGTCTTTATTCTTGACACAGAATCAAAAATATATCTCTTTAGTGGTCACAATTCTAGCATACAAGAAAGAGCTAAGGCTTTGGAGGTCATCAAGTATATCAAGGAAGAAAAGCATGGTGGGAAATGTCAGGTGGCTACAATAGGTACTTAATTTGGCTCTCTTTTCCCCGTCGTGATTTTTATATTTATTGTTTTTCCTTCATGATTTAACTTTTAGCTAAAGATTGATTGAAGCTTTCCATGCTTGGACTTGTTTTTCTACTTTAATGAATAATCACTTTTGTCGTTGAACCTAGTTGGTTAGCTTTGATTCCTTCATTGCTGCTTGATAGCTTTATTCTTTTTTGAGTTGGTTTATTCTTTATGTATATTCCCCATATTTCAGAGGATGGAAAGTTTGTCGGTGATTCAGATGCAGGGGAGTTTTGGAGTTTTTTTGGGGGTTATGCTCCTATTTCTCGTGATTCGTCCTCATTTTTCAAGAAGCAACATGATGCTCCTTTTGTGAAGTTATTTTGGTGAGTTTTTTTCTCTTTTATAAGCAATATATTCCATGTGGTTTTCATATCATATCTCAGTGTGGTGCACTCTTAATTTATAAATAAATTTTAGAGAACAGTATCATCTGATACTACAAGAAATTGCCAATTATTTGTTTTTTGCCTGAAGATCAATGTGTCTCCTCTTATCCATTGTATCTGAAATCCCTTGCTATCCCTTATTTTCTAGTTGGTTCCATATTTTGAAAAATTAAGTGTTTCAATGTTTTTGTGCCAACAGGATAAATATCCAGGGTAAACTATGTGAAACTTCCAGTGGTTTTCTTACAAGGGAAGTGCTAGATAGAGAAAAGTGCTACATGTTGGACTGTGATGCAGAGGTATTTGTTTGGATGGGAAGTTGTACTTCAATTACAGAGCGTAAGACATTGATAACTGCAGTGGAAGTAAGAAAATTTTCCTTTCTGCCTTAATTTATGACAACAAAAAAGTGCCTTTTACATGTATCTTTTACACTCCTTCATTAGTATGTACATCCAGAGCTCTGATTACTACTTAAATCATTTAATCAGCCAGACTATTAGTTTTGTTCTTGATCATACCCAATTATCTACAGATCAGAATATTTTTTCGGCAATTTTCAATTGATAAAAGAATCATGAATATTTTTGTAGTGTTTCGAGTCGTGTGAGAATAAGGATATTAAAGCGGTTTTTAAATGCATTTGCAAATATTCCTGTTGTTACCGAATATCTGTCATTGTCTTTTCTGATCATTTCCAGGATTTCCTCAGATCCCAAGGCAGGTCAACTAGGAGCCTTGTAATTGTCTTGACAGAAGGTGCAGAAACTCCCAAATTTAAATCATACTTTGTAAGCTGGCCTCAAACAGATAACCTCAAACTTTATGAAGAAGGAAAAGAGAAGGTAGCAGGTAATTGTGATTTAACTGACATAAAAAAAAAAAAAACTCATTTCAATATGTGTTGATAATCAATGTGCTTTCTTCTTTTTTTTTTTTTTTTTTTTTTTAATCTCAGCAATATTCAAGCAACAAGGTTATAATGTAAAGGAGCTTCCAGAAGAGTTCTGCCAACCACTGATAAATTGCAGGGGAAAGCTTGAAGTATTGACAATCTATGTTTGATAATTATTGCTCTGTTCTTAGATTAAGTATTCTTATTTTGATCATCTTGATGAATCAGGTTTGGGTGGTAAATGGTGAACATCTTTCTATAGTGCCTTCTGAAGCACATATAAAGCTTTTCACTGGGGACTGTTATATCATAAAGTACACATATCCAAGTAGTCAAAGGGATGAAAGCATATTGTATGCTTGGCTTGGCTTTGCAAGCGTCAAGGTAAGACCAAATTTCTAACTTACAGTTTGCTTATTATGATTTATCTAATGATGCTTTCTCCATAAGAGAGTGCTGAGTACTTGAGTACTTGGGTTATCACCTTACGTGAGAAATCAAATCCAAAATCCACCAACTTCACAACCTCAGGCACAAAATGCCTATATTATTTCATTCTCCCTCTATGCCTCTGTACTGCACCATACTATTATTTTGTTGGCTGGAATTTCTGAATTGCTGTTAAATATGCAACTGCTGTGTCCACCTTTATAACTCCCATTCTGGCAATATACATGGAGCATCTAGTCTTTCTACAGAAGCTTTTGATTCTTTGTTGGATCTGTCTCTAATATACTTGGGTCACAAAGATAGAAAAATTAACTGTGCTAGTTGCTTACTATATGATCCATTTCCTGAGACAATTATTCATCTTCGTTTCCCGTTGCAGGAAGATAGAGTCGATGCTATCTCCCATATGATTGATATGGCTGATTCCACTAAAGGAACTCCTGTTTTGGTGAGATTTCTTGTTTACTCTTCCATGCTTCAATTCTTTATTTTATTGCTTGTGTTGTTTTGCTTAACATTTCACTCGTGAGGCCTAAGATCGTCATATAATTAAGTTTACTCCTGCTTCCTGATAGTTCTGGCTATTATATCATATACCTGATGCTAGAGTTACTTGAAACCTGGTTAGTGAACTGATAGAAACTTGTTACTACAACTTAACAAGTTCATGTTATTTTGCTTATGTTGTGTGAAAAGGGATTTGGTGCCGCAGCAGGAGTTAACTCTTTATGCACCATTATATTTGGATTGTTTTAGTTTCATGGTCTATTTTTGACTTGTACATTTTGGTTCCAGGTGCAAATTTTTGAGGGAAAGGAGCCAGATCAGTTTTTCTGGGTCACCCAAAGACTGATAGTTTTTAAGGTTTGCACTCTAATGGCTGATTTTTCCTTCCACCCAAATCACAAGACCTTATTCTTTTGTTATTTCGGTTTCTAAACAGGGAGGTACGTCCACCAGGTACAGAAATTCAATTGCTGAGAAAGGCATTGAAGACTGCACTTTTAATGCCGGAAGCACGGCACTTTTCCGTCTTCAGGGATCTAGTCCGGAGAATATGCAAGCCATTCAAGTTAACATGGTAAGAAAAGATAATTTGAGAGCATGAAGTTCTGACACTTTCTGTGGTAGTAATTTGTAGTTGCTCCCATTACTTTGAGGGTACCCATTAGCTACAACTTGTGATGAACTGTTTCAAATCTAATTCTTTTGTCGATTTTGTGATTACTAAGCATTCACAATCAAATTATGTGCAAAGACTTTATATTTGGTATCAGAACCTTTTACCTTCTATTGAGAGTTTGAGATCATTGTTATTGTAGTCAGCATTTCCATCAACCTTATTGCAATCTAGCACCTTTTTGCATGCGTTTGTAATTCTTGAAATGTTATCTTGAAGAATAGAGAGACATTTCGAGTACAGGTTTCATAATTAGTTAACTTCTACTACAGGTAGTTCCATCTAACAAATATAATGATCCCTATGCCCAAGAATTAGATATCAGTCCATATCACATTGTCTCAACACCTCATAAGTAATACTAAAAAAACCTTTTTTTAAATGTCATGCAGAGTAAGTGTATCTTGGTAAATCAAATACCTTCTTTATTTTAGGAAAGATGAAAAATTTTCTGGACATTCTATAATAGTATATGTTATTATTGCACTTTCCCATCACACACAGTAAGGGTATCTTGGAAAATCAAAGGTATATATATATATATATATATATATATATATATATATATATATATATATATATATATATATATATATATATATATATATATATATATATATATATTTAATTGTCTTGGGTTTTTTAAGCTTTGTGTGCACATACATCTTTTGATTTGTTTGCTAGTTAAAGTAAAGAGCACCTTGTGTACTTTAGGTGATTAGCCCATCTCTAATCGGAGTTCATCTATATCCAGGTTGCAGGTTCCTTGAATTCTTCATATTGCTATATCGTGCGAACTGAAGAAGCTGTTTTCTCCTGGATTGGAAGTTTAACTTCAAGCAGAGACCATGACCTACTTGACAGGATGTTGGAACTGCTTAACGTATGCACGCTGTCAACTTCTGCCTCTATTCTCTGCATCTCTTGTCTTATTTCTCTCTCTCTCTCTCTCTCTCTCTCTCTCTCTCTCTCTCTGCTGCGTGTGTTCTCAATATTATATATTTTATCAACTTTTACTTTCACCTTTCACAATTTTGTGGTCACTGCAGCTATAACTTCTTATTATGACTAATTGACTACCATTACTTTTAAGGGAGAGTGAACTTTTCTTAATTATTTTAGAAATGTAGGCTTACTATAGAAGATCGACATGACCTTGATGTAGATCACCTCCCCACCCCCCCCCCCTCCTCTTCCGTCTTAATTTATACACATGGCATGGCATTGGCGTGTATGTAAAAGAGGGATTGCTGTATATATAGAGCTCTCAGATAGGCTGGACTGGGTAAGGGGAAGATATCTTGAGTTGGTATGGTCAACTTACAGTTAAATTTGTACTAGAAATTGAATAAGTAGATGGGACCTGACAAGTGAGGTACTCTGTCTCTCCCATTATAAGAAGTCCCAGGTAAATTCTCATTTAGTACCAAATTAAGAGTCCCCTTGAAAGTTCTTTGACTAGAACACTACTATTCTTTTCTTCAAATATGCATGCAAGTTCTATACGGGAACTGTGAATAGAAGATGTGTTGAATATAAAACATGTTCTGGCATTTAATTTATGCCAGAGCCTCTTTTTTCTTCTCCTTTGTGATTCATCTAAATCATATTAAAAAAAATTCAACCTATATAATTTGCTGATTTTGTTATCCATTTGGTGCAAAGGAGTCAAGTTATATATGGTAGAAATACAACCTGGCTTTTGCAATCATTTGATGACAGATTCTTAAGATTCAGATTAGTAGTTTACTTTACATTTAAAATTTCACTAACATAATTTTATTTCTGCATCCACAGCCAGATTGGCAACCTAAATCCTTGAGAGAAGGGGGTGAGCCTGATGAATTCTGGATGGCTCTTGGTGGAAAATCAGAGTATCCTAGGGAGAAGGAAATCAGAAAGCATAAAGAAGATCCACATTTGTTTGTTTGCAATTGTTCTGAAGGTAATCATTGGCCCATTTCCTTTTTATGTTTTTAAGATCAAGTTGCTTGGTTACGATGCAGACTTATCAGTTATAGGTGACTTTAGTTTGTTTCATGGTGGCTCATGATTCTCATTTAACTTGATTTGTTTTTCATGCAGATGATTTCAAGGTGCGTCTCTTATTATTAAGATGGTTGTCAATGTATGGCTGCATCTATTTTCATAGGATGTCTTCTCTTGCCTTAACTTACTGTTAGCATTGCTTTTCCCGTAAGAATGGACTGAATATTTCTACTTTTACTGTAATCATTGCTTGTTTAAAATATTCTAATTATTTAGTTAGTACCATAGATCTTCTTTCTTCCCATTTATGGGGAAAGCAACAATTCATTTTAGAATGATTTCCTGCTGCCAGCTCTTCAGTGAGTTAACCAATAATCTCAAAAGAAAATCATATTGTAGTAGACTAGCAATTTGATTTGTGTATTTATATAAATAAGCATAAATTTAAGGCTGAAAGCTTGAAATTATAATGAACTTGCTGATGGTTTTCTTACAAAAGGTAGTAGGTTTAGCCTACAATTCTCCTTTTAGTGACTTAAGGTCATAACTCTCTAATTAGTGACTTGAGGTCACAACTCTCAAAAGGATTCACTCCAAAATTCTGCCTACTGCTTCCTTCCCCTCCCCCCCCCCTCTCTATTTCATACTGGAGCTTAAAACTATTAACCTAATAATACTAGACTTCCCAAATTGCCCCTCCTAAGGTTATTCTATTACACATATCTCCCAATATGCCAATATGGTTTAAGCAGTTTTGTGGCAGAATAAACTTGTGAACCACTCTCCTTAGCTGTGAAAACTAGGATGCACAGGGAGTTCTATGCCCACATGGATTTTGGTTGTGCATGACTACGTGGGGTCTTGACCACTATGACAGATGCCAAGGTGGCAATAAAAAAACAATGGCTCACCCACCCCTCCCCCCCTTCCCCAAAGAATAAATCTCCTCCTGCTTAAATTACTGAAATATACAATTGCTATATGTAGATTGTTAGGCCTTTGCTATACGGATGAGTTGGCAATAAGTTTAGGTATAGCTTTCATATTGGACAATTTCTATATTTTTCCAGACCCAAAAAGCTAAGAGGTTAGGGCTCTTCCCATGGACCCCATGACACCCCTGAAGACCATTTGGGTGGTTGGAACCATCCACTTTGCCTTTAAACTGCCAATTTATCCATTTATGTACACGCTTCCTTTAATCAACTTAAGGTAGCCACGAGCCTGTATGTGACCAACTAGTGGTCATTTATGGTTTCAAACAATATTATATTACCCCAAAATGCATCATTTACTATCCCAATGTATTTCGACACCGGGTCTCGAAACCTTCAAAATTGGTCCAAAAGCGTAAATTATAGCCTTCAGTTTTGGATAATTTTTTACTTTTCTGGATATGGAAAGGAATCAAATCGGGGCTCTTCCCATGGACCTCATGACCCTCCGAAAGGCAGGCTGTTTGGGTGGTTGAGACCATCCACGTTACCTTTGAACTGTCAATTTAGTCGTTTATGTACACGCCTTTCTTAATTAACTCAAGGTCACCACTGGCTTTTATGTGACCAACTAGTGGTTGTATTTGGTTCCAAACAACATTATATGACTCCAAGATGCATGCTCTACCATCTCGGGACTTTTCGATATTAGGTCATGAAACCTTTACAACTGATTCTAAAACGTAGATTACAACCATCAATTTTGGACAATTATTGACTGTTCCGGACCCGGAAAGGAAACAAGCTCTGGTGCTTCCCATGGACCCCACGACACCCCAGGAGGCCATTTGGGTGGTTGTAATCGCCCTCTTTGCGATTACAAGGTTGTCCGGAAAGGAAACTAACAGATTACGTGTACGTCTCCTTTCATTGACTCAAGGTTGTCACGGGTCTTTATGTGACTAACTAATGAACTTACATTCCAAAAAAAACACTATACAAACCCGAGATGCATCCCTTACAATCCTGACATCTTCGACATTGGGTTTCGAAACTTTCAACATGATCCAATTTCGTGTATTATAGCCTTCAAATTGGCTTCTAGAGAACAATTTTGCAAGATTATGCATCGAAGTTATTCATGAGGTTTCAAGAGGGTCTTAGGCCTTCTGAGATGCCTAGTTGGTGCTCAGAAACATCTCATTCATGCCTTAGCCCACCCTACGTTATCAAGCCTTGTGATGCCTTCAAATGCCTTGTCATACTTTGGCTTGGTTTTGTGATGCCTTGGATTGGTCTTGCATTGCCTTGCCTTAGGCAAGCCAAGGTGCTAACCTCAATTGCCATAATAGCATTTTTTTTAAGGATGAGGTGTTTTTATGCTTTGTCCTTGTGCACATGTCTCGTGCCCATGCCCCATGCCTACAACATGGTCGTGTATTGGCTAGGCAACATCATCCAAAGCCACACTTAGGTGCTGTGCCTTGGACCAATTTCGTACTTAGTATTTTTTTAGCATCGTTACCCTCGTTTAGCAAAATATAGGTGTTTTTAGAAAATAAGTTTGGGGGGCGGGGGTTTGACAGATTAAAGAAGTATAGGGCTAAATCTAAGTGGATCGTGGCAGCAAGGCCAATTCTTATTCTATCATCTGCTATACATATAATTCCACAAACTGGACTGCTTGCAGCTAAGCTTGCTGTAGCACATTCTGTAATCATGTTCTCATACAAAATAGTGGGAACTACTATCTAATTTGGAGAAGTTTTAGCATTTTGTTTAGGAAATGATATGTTTACTTCTGATTAGAAATAAGTGTTTCCACCAAACAAAACATGTTTGCCAGTCTGGGACTTCAATTTAACAAACAAAAGGCGGAAATTATTTTTATGCCTACCCAAAGTTTGCCTGACATTTTTGTGGTTAGACTTGATAAATCTTGTCTGGATGAACCATACCTGAAATCCAGCTGTCTACTTGAAAGGAAAACATACTACAATATGAAATGTAGTAATTTTGCTGTCAATCGCTTATTTTTCATGTCACTGATTATTGCACTATAATTCCAGGTAAAAGAGATATTCAGCTTTACGCAGGATGATTTAACTACCGAGGATATCTTCATTTTAGACTGTTACATTGAAATATATGTTTGGATAGGGTCCCAGTCAATTGTCAAATCAAAGCTACAAGCAATACAATGTGGCATGGTAATACCATTGATATATATTCTAGAATTCCAGCTCTCCTGTATTCTTATGTGGAACTCTTTCCGTGGTGCATCAGAAAATTGCACTTTGTGATGTTTGCCAATGTTGTATCGTCTCTCAATACATTATTCCATCGAGTTCAGGATAACTTCATGGTTCTAGCTCATATATTTGAACTGATGATCTGCATTCACTTCTGGTCTAATCAGGCAAAGCTAATCTTATTGTAGAAACCCATGTAAGTTTATCACTGTAGCTTCTTTAAAGGATCAAGATGTTGAGGTTGATGCATATTGAGTTATTGACTAAAGCAAGTATAACATCAGGGAAGACATCTTGCAACTAGATTAGTCCTGAATGTAACTAAAGTATAATCAAATACTTCTAGAGTTTCTCAACCTTCAAAGTTTATAGTATGCTTAAAACATACTTACTGAGCGTTCATGGTTTATTGCATAATCTCTTTTCATGGAACTGACCTTCTTTGTGACCTCTTGTGCAAATTTATGCATCATAATTTCATGTGGTTTTAAATTCTGCTGATTCAACCTTTGACGTTGAACATCGAGCTGTATTAGTTGTTTGTTACCTCGTAGGATCTACACTTGTGTTCATTGGATGCTCACGGGGACATTATTTTTATTTTATTTTTAATTTTTGTTATTTGAACTTTCTGTACTATGGCACCAGTATAATTCACTGATACTGCTTGTCTTACAAATTATTCTCATGTATTTCACTAAATAATGCAGAATTACCTGGAGAGGGACATTTTAGCTCAAGGATTATTGCTGGAGACACCATTGTACATTGTTACAGAGAGACATGAACCAGAATTCTTTACTTGCTTTTTTGATTGGGATGTTTCAAAATCACATGTAAGGCATTAATCTATGCCTTTGTATCTGTCCTTATGTACTAGTTTGTTGTCATCTCACTGAACTTGCACGTGAAGCACAAGTGATACAAAAATGAAATATTTGTATTTTGCTAATATAGAATGTGCCAGACTGAAGTACTATTAGTGTTTTACTGCAATTTTCATATTCTCCTAAAATGAATATACAAAACTCACTTATATTTGTTTGGCATTTGACACTTTTACTATGTCCCCTCTTTCAGATGGATGGAAATTCATTTGAGAGAAAACTCGCATTACTAAGAGGAGAAAAGAAATTGGAGGTAAGTGTCCTAATACCTTCCGGCATTGTCAATTGTGCAGCCCAAAAACAGTTATATCATCTTATTTATTACTCTCAAGCCCAAACAATAATTGGTCTATGCTTCTAAAATGTATTCTTTCATTCTTTGTCTAGACACCTCCGAGGAGCTCATGTAGGGCACATTCCTCTGAATATTCCCGAAGTGGTTCAAGAAGCAAGTCTGTAAGTTGTAATGGAGTGCCAAGAAGTGCATCTCCATCGAGTTTTTCAAAATCGCATTTAATATCTTCAAATGGTGGGGCATTTTCCAGCCCAGATGTTATTGCTAAGAAACTTTTTTCAGAACAATCTGCGAACCACAGCAGTACTGTTGGTGAGTAGTAAATCCTAATTTTTTTCCCATTACTTATAAATGCAATATTCTGTAGCTGTGAGCCTGTGACAGAATATCAATTACATTTTAATTCATCAAACCATTAGTATGAGAATTAAGTGTTTGTCTGATTGGCTATCTGGTGTTATCAAATTTGATTAGTGTGTCTTCGTTATGAATTTCTCACATTGTGCCATTGTGGGTATGCATGTTGCAGATTTCCATAAACTGGACTCGGGTAATTCTGCTGAGACTGTCAGTTCTTCACTGGTTGCTGAAAATGACGATGATGATGATTCTAACCTGCTAATATATCCTTATGAGCGCTTAATGCTGACTTCTGATGAGCCAGTTTCTGACATAGATGTGACCAAGCGTGAGGTAACCTTCACATAGTCAGCGAAAATTGCACATATGATCAAGTTTCATTCGGAGGTCCATAAATATTGCTTTTCAGACTGAAAAACAGCAAATCTAGTAGTCCATGTTAGAACTAAAATTAGATAATGACATGAATTCAAAACCTTACTTTTTTTTAGTTTTACAATGGTCTATTTTGAACAAAGTACAATTTATTAATATATGTGCAGACCAACAATTTATATTCATTGGCTGTTTATAGTTTTCACTATTCTGTCTTCATGATTATTAGGCATACTTGTCCAAGGCAGAGTTCCAGGAAAAGTTTGGCATGACAAAGCGAGCCTTCTACACGCTACCTAAATGGAGGCAGAATAATCTAAAGGTCTCTCTCAATCTTTTCTGATGCAAGTATGCAGCTATTCTGATCATTGAAGCCTTGGATATGCAATTTAAGTCATCCGTTGGTGTAAGAAATGAACTCAGTTGTTTTCTTCATTCCAAATGTTGACAGGAGATATTCTTGTGATACTTCTTTAGTCTTCAGGGATGTCTTGTATTAGACGGTCTCTGAACGATTAATTATAAATTTATAAGACTGGTGTGATTAATTCTAATATAGGATTGTTATCACCTGATTTCAGAGGTAATTTCTTCTGTATAAAGTGCCTAATTGGCTATTACTTCAATAAAAGAAGTTATAGCTTGTTCTTGTCATCCCATTTTTTTTTTTTTTTTTTTTTTTTTGAAGGAATGTTCCTGTCTTTCCTTTAATATTATCATTTCTTATGTTTCTGACTTTTTCTTTCACAAACAAGAACAGTTAAAAAACCAAATTCAGTAATGGCTCCTATTGATCATATCAAGAATCAAGATATAGACAAAAAAATTTTAATGAATTTTTTATCTGTCCGAAGTTGTTTGTCGTGCACTACCTATATACAAGTATAAAAACTAAACTACTACGGAATATTCCATAATGTTTAACCTGTGTCAATTTCATGACATTGTTTATAAAACTTATTAGCCGTCCAAAGATTGGTGACAATATTAGTAGTACGCAGTACTATTAAAAACTTCAAGAAATCAAAAATTGCTCGTTTTTTATAAGATATTTGAAACTTGATTATTCTATAAACAACGACCAACAAAACTCATCCCGTTGGATGATAGAGGAAAACAAAACGTTTGTTACACATCCATCACTCATTCAAATTCAGCCTTTAAAATGTCAAAATCACTCAACATATAGTATATAAAAGTCATACCAACAAAAACAATGGCGTGTTTGTATTGAACTTTATGGTTAGATTATCACCAAAATAATACAAATAATAGTCAAAGATGTCCAATTACTTTATCTTTCTCCCAAAAAAAGCCCACTATTCTCAACATTATTCCACTAACAGTATATTCCGCAGTTCACCGAGTTCCGGTCACCGGAAAATGTCTCCTCCAACTGTCTCTCTCCTCCCCATTTTCTCTCTCCTCTTTCTTCTTCTCACTCCTCAATCTTCTTCCTTCCCTTTTCCCAAACCAAAACCAGAAATTCAATCACCCATCAAAACCATCGTCATTTTAGTCATGGAAAACCGTTCATTCGACCATATTCTTGGGTGGCTCAAATCAACCCGACCCGAAATTGATGGGTTAACCGGAAACGAGTTCAACCGGTTGAACTCCTCTGACCCCATATCACCCCAAATTCACGTCTCAAATGATGCGGTTTTTGTTGACTCGGACCCGGGTCACTCAATCCAAGCTATAACCGAACAGATATTCGGGTCGACCCGATTAACTGACCCAGCACCTATGAATGGGTTTGCTCAACAAGCTAATTCTATGTCAACCCACATGCCAAAAAATGTTATGAGTGGGTTTAAACCTGAGTTAGTTCCTGTTTACACTGAGTTAGCCAACGAGTTCGCCGTGTTGGACCGGTGGTTCGCATCGGTTCCTGCGTCAACTCAGCCGAATCGGTTTTATGTTCACTCAGCTACTTCTCATGGTGCGTCAAGTAATGTAAGGAAAGATTTAATTCATGGGTTTCCTCAAAAAACAATCTTTGATTCACTTGATGAAAATGGGCTTAGTTTTGGGATTTATTACCAAAATATCCCTGCAACTATGTTTTTCAAGAGTTTGAGGAAGATTAAGCATATAACTAAGTTTCATAGTTATAGTTTAAAGTTTAAATTGCATGCTAAACTTGGTATGTTGCCTAATTATGTGGTAATTGAGCAAAGGTATTTTGATAAGAATATATTTCCTGCTAATGATGATCATCCTTCGCATGACGTGGCGGAAGGACAGAAGTTTGTGAAGGAGGTGTATGAGACACTGAGGGCTAGTCCACAGTGGAAAGAAATGGCTTTGTTGATAACGTATGATGAACATGGTGGGTTTTATGATCATGTTCCTACCCCTGTTTCTGGGGTTCCTAGTCCTGATGGGATCGTTGGGCCCGAACCGTTTTATTTTCGGTTCGATCGGTTGGGAGTTCGGGTTCCCACGTTGTTGATTTCCCCTTGGATTGATAAGGGTACTGGTGAGTTTTCTTGTCCTGTGTTGTTTTTTTGGTGGGTTTTGTTATCTGTCTAGTTTTGTATTTTTATGTTGTTTTGTGGCTTATTGAGGTTTATTTTTATTTTTACTGTGATTATCTTAGTAAAATTGTTGGCTGCTCGATTCTCCTGTTATACTTCAATGTGAAGTTTGATAGATTGAGACTTGAGAGGCACATGTTAAGAATAGACTTTTGCATTCTATCATGTTATAGTACAACTTAAGTGTAAGCATATGACAGATGTATGATCTCAATCCTTTAGCAATTGTACTGCGGAGTAGTTGTTTATGATTTTGCCGACACTCTTCATCTATCGATTTTATCACTATTACGCTCTTTTGTACTTATGTGAACAAGTGAATTTATGAGCAAAATTGTGACAGTGTAACCAATTGTATATTAGCGTGCTGGTGTGAAGATAATTGTTTATTTTAGAGTTGGTGAAGATAATAGGGTTGAAGTTGCACTTGCTAACTAACGAATTATGACAAACTTTGTGGGGGTAGAGATTGTTTGTTTTATTAGAATGAATAAATCTTTCCAAATTAAGTTCAACAATATCTGTGAATTGTTGATTTAACGATGGTAGCATTTGTTGTTGATGTATTTCATTAAGACACCGATTCAATTGTTGCAGCATTAGAGTAGATAGGGTATTAAGTACTGACTGATGTATGTTTAGATAGCAACTCTTTCCCTATGCCTCAGGCTATATAGTACTTAGTGTAGTTGTTTTAGGCAATTCCTATGTAAGGCTTTTATAATGGAAGCTTTGCCGGAGTAGTGAGTGTGTAGTGCAGTAGAGTCTTGCTTGTACATGACAGCATGTCATGTTTTTTACTGTGCTGTACAAAATGCTACCTAGTTATTAGTCTTAGTCTGTTTGCGTACTTAATTGCCTTTTTATCCAAAAGAGTTTAATTTCAAGATGGACTCTTTATTCACTCGAATGTCTTGTCTTTTATGTTGCCAACTTAGCATTTGACTTGGACCCCACAATGTAGTTAGAAAGTTAGCTTGTGAGAGTCGTGACAAAGAGTTTTGGCTTCTTGCTAAAGTCATGACAATATCTTGGTGTTGATAATACTTGCAGCTTGTTTGGTAATTGGTATTTGGTAATCAATGGTGGTTTTTTTATTTTTATTATTATTATTATTATTATGATTGTGTATTGTATTTTTTGCAAGAGGGGGGTATGCTAATAAATTGGATTTGGATTAGACGGGAATTGGAAAAATAAAATTAAATTGTGCAGAGTAATTATTGAAATCATAGCTACTTGTCATTGCTTATTTTTGGATGGATTGCATTTTTCTTTGTGGGAAGCATCTACAGATTATGTCTTTCTTCTTCACATAATAGCTACTTTTGGTTCCTTATATATGTAAGGATTACATTAGCATTGTTTAAAAAAAAAAAACATTACTATCTTAGCTTGGGCTGTTGTAGTTATGTTTGAATCCAAATTAGGTTCTGTGTAAATTGGCAATTTAAACAGAGTTGTTCACTTGTTTGGCATATGTTATGGAACATTATGGGCATGAACCATTGCAGCTTTATTATATAGTGAAGCGTGAAACTGTCTTGAATGAGTGAATTATATTTTAAATTATTCTCTATGATGTCCAAAAATGGAGGAATAATTTGTTCATTTTGGGTTGATACAGTGATCCGGAAGCCTGATGGACCTACTCCAACATCGGAATTCGAACATTCCTCCATCCCTGCTACTGTGAAGAGGCTTTTCAACTTAAAATCCAATTTCCTTACTAAACGAGATGCGTGGGCTGGAAGCTTTGAAAAGTACTTCTATCTGCGTGACACTCCACGTGAAGATTGTCCAGGTTGGTTTTAGTATCCTTTTCTTTCCTCTCTAATCAAACCATTAATGTTTATAAATTATATAACTATAGAGTTCAAGTTATCCCAATCATCTATATAACTATATTGTGGGCTTCTGCGATTTTCATATAACTATAGAGTTCAAGCCTCTGTACTCTAGTTATGTGGTGCTTGATAAGCTGTGCCATTCATTCATAACAGAATTTGATGACCTCATGCCTTTCAGGAACCTAAGATTTTGTAGCTGGTGCTGTCTCATGTTTTGTTTTGACTTTTGAGTATCTATTGATTACTTTCTAACTTGCAAGTATGTGTGGATCCCTAAAACAGAGAAACTGCAGGAGGTTAAGAGATCACTAAGGCCATTTGGAGCCAGAGAAGATGCAAAACTTTCAGAGTTTCAGATGGAATTAATACAACTTGCTTCGCAACTTAATGGTGACCATGTTCTTAACACTTACCCGGATATTGGCAAAAATATGACTGTGAATGAAGCCAATCAATATGCAGAGGATGCAGTGCATCGATTTTTAGAAGCTGGGAAAGCAGCTATTAAAGCTGGAGCTGATGAATCAACTATTGTAACAATGAAACCATCTCTTACCAGTCGGACTTCTGGTGGTAGCCTCAGCAGCTATCAATAGAATCATTGTTTCTTCTAAGTTACACTTTGTGTAAATATTTATATACTACGATCAAATGTACGTTTATGCAACCTTTGCTAAAAACCTAGTAGGAAAAGAGCATTGAAGAATATTAATATCCTGTAAATATAACATCATATTGAAACAGTCTTCTTGTCTCTGGGAGAGGCATGCTGCTGAGTTCAGAGGCAATGGAGCATCTGTTGTGATTTGTCTATATATATTAGATTGAGATTTCAAGGTACTAAGGTATGTCCCTAATAGACCTTATTCCATCGTCTGTAATTTTCATATTACGTTCTGCAACTGTAATGTCCTGCTGAAGATTATGAAAATGTATTTGGTGTTCTGTAATGATCATATTCCAAAAGCATCTTCTTTTGTTTGATTTCCTGTTTGCTCCGTATGCAGTTTATAAGGCACTGAATATCATGAAAATTTGTTTTGCTGGGATCTTATCAAATTTGTTGGGCCCACTTGGTCCCTTAGTATCATGTGGTTCAGTTTTACTTTAGTTGTGTAAATATTAGAATGATCTTAAAAGTGTTGGTCAATTATAGCTGATGAAGTTAACCTGAGGGGGTTGATTAAAGAGTTTCTCTTCCTTTGTTTCTTGTTTATATGCCCCCATTAGGCCTTTTTTTTTTTTTTTTTTTCTGTTCTTTTTGTAAACACACTAAATTCGCCCAAAAATATGCAGGTTATTACTTTTATTTGCGATTTAGAGTATATTTGTCTATCATCCCTCATATGTGATATATGCAAAACATTAGTTGTATAAAAAAAAAAAAAAAAAAAAATAGGCTGCAGCGAGTGTTTTGATGTATGAATGGTTTAATGATGTAAGAGAAATTATGAGGGCTAATCTTATCTGATTTTCCTTGAGGGTGTGGTTTCTCACCCAAATTGGTCTTATAGTAGTAATTGTACCAAGTTTACAAAGGATAAGAAATTCATGTTTGGGGCTCCAATGATTTTGGAAGTGGCCCCAATTTTTAGCTTTGGATTTATTTCCTTTTAACAACTCACCCAAAAGCTAGTTGACAAGTTGCTGATATTCAACTGTCATTCTCACACTCCTGTCATTCTTACATAAGTCCTGCAGCCACTATTCAACTTGCTGATCACCGTAACCCCAAAAATATAATCCATCTGTAACCTCATCATTTATGTCTCTTCTAGTACCAAATTCCATTTATAGTTCCATACCTTGAAATTCTTCAATCACCAATCACTAATCACTTCTTTGTGCCATCTATCAAAGCTGCGATGGCAGTGTCATGGGAAGATAGTGTCACAAGTTCAATAAACGCCATATATCTCCTCTTCTCAGCCTACCTTGTTTTTGTAATGCAGCTCGGATTTGCTATGCTATGTGCAGGTTCAGTCCGTGCTAAGAATGCCATGAACATAATGCTCACCAATGTTGTTGATGCTGTTGTAGGCAGCCTCTCCTACTACCTCTTTGGGTTTGCTTTCGCTTTTGGAACTGGCCCTGGATCCAACCCTTTCATTGGCACACATTTCTTTGCCCTCGAAGGTGTGCCTGATGGTAAATATGACTATAGTTTCTTCCTTTACCAATGGTCATTTGCCATTGCAGTTGCTGGGATTACCAGTGGCTCAATAGCTGAGAGAACCCAGTTTGGTGCTTATCTCATTTTTTCTTTCTTTCTTTCTGGATTTGTGTACCCTATTGCAGCTCACTGGGTTTGGTCTTCCAGTGGTTGGCTTAGCCCTAGTTCTGCTTATCTGTATCTTGGTTCAGGGGCCATAGACTTTGCTGGGAGTGGTGTGGTTCACTTGGTTGGAGGGATTGCTGGACTTTGGGGCTCTATTATTGAAGGCCCACGGGTTGGTCGGTTTGATGCATTTGGAAAGCCTGTTTCCATAAGAGGTCACAATGCAACTCTAGTGGTTCTCGGTACATTCTTGCTCTGGTTTGGTTGGTTTGGGTTTAACCCAGGCTCTTTTGGTGAGATCCTAGTAGCATACCCTACTACAACTGACCAAGGTAATTGGACCGCCATAGGGCGGACTGCTGTTACCACCACATTGGCAGGCTCAATGTCTGGAATAGTTACCCTGTTTGGAAGACGTCTGTTGATAGGTCATTGGGATGCACTGGATGTTTGCAATGGTGTCCTTGGTGGGTTTGTAGCTATAACATCCGGTTGTTCAGTGGTTGAACCATGGGCTGCTGTTATTTGTGGGTTTGTTGCAGCCTGGGTCTTAATTGGACTCAACATGTTGGCGCTGAAATTGCGTTTTGATGACCCATTAGAAGCAGCTCAATTGCATGGCGGGTGTGGAGCCTGGGGTTTGATATTTACAGGCTTGTTTGCCAAGGAAGAGTTCTTAATCCAGGTTTATGACTCAGGTGTTGGTGGCATCTCTCGTTCTCATGGCCTCCTGCTGGGTGGGGGTTGGGGCTTGTTCGGGGCTCAAGTAACCGAGCTTATAGTGATTGTTGGCTGGGTTAGTGTGACTATGGGCCCGCTGTTTTACATCTTGCATAAACTGAGACTGTTAAGGATATCTCTTCATGATGAAGTTGCTGGTCTTGACATATCTAGCCATGGAGGCTATGCCTACCATAACCAAGATGAAGATGAACGTCCACAGAGTTATAATGACTATATACAGATGCGTAGCTAGTCTAAACTTGATTCGCCCAGAACTTGTTATCAGTTCAATCTTGCATCAATGATCGCTACTTAATTTCCCCATCTTATGTTTTTCTAGTCCTGCATGCTGCAGAAATTGTGTATAATGTCTAATTGTCTATAGCTTGTTATTTTTTTTTTGTTTTGAATAAATGTCTATAGCTTGTTATTAGTGTGTAAATTTTGTACCTTCAAAAAATATCGTGTAAATTTTTGTATATGATACCCTTTTTATATTTCCAAAAAATTAATAAACAATCTTACTACTATAGTCAAAATTTATAATATCACTTGGTAACATGCCATTAGATTGTAGGTGATACTGGTTGAACAATTGTAAGCTTGAATTGTGAAGTGAACTTACACGTATCATAACTTGGTCTAATTTAAGTTACTCCAGCTTTCCAATGAATATAATCAATTAATCTCTCCAAAAAAATTACTCCGTAAAATTTTGGACTTAAATAAACACAACAAAGGACAACCTTTTATTAGCATAATACTACTTGTCCAATGATCTTAATCGAGTAAAGCCGAACTTTTTAAATTTTTTTTTTTTTAGGTCAGATAAAAGCCATATTAAACCGACATATCTCACATATTAAGTTAAATTTGTAAGAAATGAATTTCCCACGAACTCTGTAATATTAGACGAGGAAATTAGTTTTACAGTACTCCATATTTTGTATGATGGTCGAGTATAAACTTACAAGGAGATGAAATATTAACAATTCATCGCGGGATTTGGGGTTTTAAAATTCCCCCAAATTGAAAACCCTAGAATTTCTCAACGCTCGATTACTCTTCACTCCTCTTGTAATTCTCAGCTCTGAAAATCAATTGCAAGATGAATCCATTAACATTGGTGAAGAGAATTCAAAGTATAAATGCTAAAGAAGCTGATTTAGGGATTTCAGATGAAGCTTCATGGCACGCCAAGTATAAAGATTCTGCTTACGTTTTCGTCGGCGGCATTCCTTACGATCTTACCGAAGGCGATCTTCTCGCCGTCTTTGCTCAGTACGATTCTTGTTTTTTTTTTTTTTGAATTATTTTATTTAATTTTACATTTTTGTTTGTTTAATTGATTTGTGTTACTAAATTTTATTAATTTTGATTTTTTTTTTCTTCAATTGAATTTGGTGAAGATATGGAGAAATTGTTGATGTTAATCTTGTACGAGATAAAGCCACTGGAAAATCGAAAGGTTTTGCATTTGTTGCGTATGAGGATCAAAGAAGTACAACTCTAGCTGTAGGTGAGATTTTCTCTGTTGTTATTATCGTGTTTCGATTTCGAGTGAGCTGGATGTAAGGTTTGAATGAGTTGGAGTATTTAATTTTGTTATTTTGTTCGGCAGATAATTTGAATGGTGCTCAAATTGGTGGCAGAACTATTAGAGTTGATCATGTTGCTAAGTATAAGAAAAAAGAAGAGGAGGATGAGGAGACGGAGAGGCAGAAGAGGGAAGAACGAGGAGTTTGTCGTGCTTTCCAGAAAGGCGAGTGTAAATATGGTGATGCGTGCAAATTTTCTCACGATGAGCAAGTATGATTGTCCTTTGAATTTTATATGCTCATTTCTGCTGGTTATGCTGTAAATAGATTGATCTTCGGTCTATCTGTTTATTCGTGCCTGTGAAATCCATTGGTGACTTGCTGAGTTGCTGCAATAAGCTTACTTTCACTGTTATTTCATGCATTTGTATGGCATTTACCACGTGTGTGTTTATCCTAGATGTAGCGAGAAGTCTTTGCTTTAATAAGCAATAAAATGGGAGATAGTGTTGTCTTTAAATCTGCAATATCAGTGCATTCATTATATCTTGGAGAAAATTTCCTTGAATATCACAGAATGTGTACTGATCAGCCCTAAAGTATAGCCTGCTGTTTATATGGGGTTTCCTTTTAACTGGGGAACCTGTGCTTCTTGTAAGCTTTATACTAGTAAATTTAGCTTAAGTTTTGGTTAATTGAACCGCATTTATTACCTTTTATTTGTATCCCTGGAGCTCAAACATCCTGTTTGCCGCCAGAACTGCTACAAGGATATTGGAAGGCTCACCAATGCATATGGATCTCTTGATAAAATTGGATTAATTGAGGGTGGGGAGTTTGTCATTCTAGAAGCACACAAGATAAGTGAAGAGCAAAAGGCTGTGTTAATGGAAGATCAGGGCATAGGCTGTGTTCATATCAATTCACCAAGGCATTGCTTTAAATTTAGAAAATAGGTTGTCTATTAAATAGATTGTTTCAAAAACAGAAATGTTTAAAGTGATTAAGTAGGAGTAAGCTCAATCATTTTAGACTATGTTGTTGGTGGTCTTTTGGTTCCTAACCTCCTAGGCTCCTATGTGTCCCTTTTGAATTGTTAGTAGCAATTGACTCATTTGTTGCATTATCTCTCTAGCTTTATAGGCAATTGTTATTATTATTTTTCTAATTGCGCATTTTTCCATAGAGAGCTGCAGATACTGGATGGGGTCACGAAGAAGATAAAAGGTCAAAGTGGGATAATGACAAATCATCCTACCCTAGGGGAGAACGGGGTGTTTGTCGTGCTTTCCAAAAGGGCGATTGTAAATATGGAGATTCGTGCAAATTTTCTCACGATGAGCAAGTATGTTTGTCGTTTTATCTTTAATCTGGCTGTTGATATTTGTCTTTGAATGATTTTACTTGTTGGCTTAACACACAATTTTAGACCTCATCCACCATTGGAGATATCCTTCCGTAATTCCGTCAATGAGCTCATCTTTTAGTCTTATCATACAATTTTAGACCTCATGTGTTTCCTCTGTTTCATCAGTGAAACTTCCACAATTATCTCAGAAGTTGCACTGATGAATCCTACTGTTTTTACTCCATAGCTTATTGTTTATTTGGGGCTGTCTGTTAATCGGTGGGTCTTTGCCTTTTTAAATATTTTGACTTGTGAATGTAGTAAAATTTTGGTAAAGTGAACCCCTTTCTTACCATTTAACCATGTCCCTTGAGCTTGACAATCCTAATTTTCACCAATAGGGGGAAATTGGAAAGGTTGCTATTTCCAATGGATCTCTTGGTGAAATTGGAGTAGTGGGTAATGCCTAAAGGAGTGGAATAGGAGACTGAAGAGTAAGTAGAGGACTTTCATCACCTGGAAGGTCAGGGCATAGTTCATCATTTTGAATGTAGAAAAAAGATGCATACCATATACCGTAGAGGATTTAATCAACTAGAATGATTTTATCAACTTTAGACTATGCTGTAGGTGGTCTTTTCCCTTCGTTCCCTATGTGTCCTTATCCAGTTTCAACTGCCAATTAATTTGCTGCATACCCTTATTTTCTTAGCTTTACTGATAACTGGTATTTATGTATTTTAATTGTACAATTTTCCATAGAGAGCTGCAGACACTGGATGGGGTCCTGAGGAGGATAAGAAGTCAAAGCGGGTGAATGACAAATATGACAATCATTCAAAGGATTATAAAAGATCACGGGATGCTCCACCTAGTCATGGTCCAGAGCGGAAAAAACCTGATGTTTATGGTGGAAGAAGTTCTGGAGGAAAGGACCACATCGAAATTGCTGACAAGAAAGTTGAAGATGGTTTTGACACAAGAGACAGGGGCAAGCGATCAGAATACAAAGATGATCGAGACAAGCGAACAGTTGAAAGGTTGAGGTATGAATCTGAATCAAAATCTAGAGATGATTATGACAGGAGGGGAGAAAAATGGTCAAGGAGGAGTGATACACAACCTTCTGTGAGGGACACCCGAAGTGAGAAAGACTGGGATAGAGATAGGGATAGGGATAGGGAGAAGCGCTCATCCTATACTAGGGATTCTTCCCCTCAACGTCATAGAGACAGGGATGATGGTGATCAGCGTCGAGCCAGACGTGATGAAGATTACCATAGATCTCAGAGAAAATAGGAGTTTCAACTTGTGTAAGCTTTCTAGGACTAGCATGATTTCCCCTTTTTTTTCTTGTGATGAGGATAAAGCATTGCTTCTCTGTTACTTTGATGTATACATTGTACTGTTACTTGCTTTATTAGTTTTCCCTCAATTTTGGGATAGTAAATGCATCTGTTAAAGCTAATGGTGTCTGCTATGATCAAATACTGACATTGTTGATTTACTGACATTTTCTCGCTGTTGTCCTAAGCGCTTTATGCTTTTGGAGGAGTGTTTTTAGCACTATTAAGGTTTGTATTGTCACCCACTAGTTTCTTTTCAGACCTATATGATTGAAGAGAGGAATGCTAAAAATTAGTTTGGAGAAATGTTAGTTGTTGAAATTTGGAGGATATTTGCAGTTAGGATTCTAGGATTAATCTGTACACTGTAACATAGTAAAGGTTATCAATTATGGCTTGTTTCCTATCATAACAAAGGGAAATTTTATTGCTACTAGTATTCATACTTCTTAATCAAAATGGTACATTTGCAATCTGCTTTATTCTTGTTTCCAGGTGCATCAGCACCAAGTGAATTCTCAGTGAGGTTGCTACTAGTTTTTCTAAGCATATTCTTCTTTAGAAGATGATAGCTGAGTCAACCCTGGCACAAGGACCGGACCTTCATCAAGGGGAACCAAATTTCCTTCTTCTCCTAGTTCAGCTGAATTTTTATCTGCCTTTGCCTGTCTTTCAAAACCTTCTCCCACTGCCACTTCTTTCCTCGGGGCCTTTCTGTCTGAATCTGGAAGAGATGGTTCCTCCAATGTGTTACGCATTAGTTCTTCATTTTCTTCGATAGCTTGTTGCTCTTCACTTATCTTGTGTGCTTCTGCATTATCCCATTCTTCTGTCACAGTTATAACATTCTTGGTCTCCCATGCTTCGAAATTCCTGTCTGGACCAGGTTGCCACATAACTTCACCCATGCTGTTCTTAAGCAAGACTTTGTACTGGATAGGCTTCCCAACCGGCAATTCCTAACAAACGTGGGAGGAGTAAAAAGGAAATCAAGCACAATTTTTTGGTTGCACATAGGCATATCTAATTCCAATTCCTTAAGAATCTTACCAAAAAAAGACTCCAGATGTGGCCTTCGGACCAGTCAAATGGTATGGCATCTGATGGGTTCCATGACCCCAGAATTGGGTCATCTCCTACTAAAAGAATTTGATCACCGAATTGGCACTCTTTCTCCAGCTGAAATTTCACACAAACCGACTTGTAGAGCTCTGTTGTTTCAGCTCCTACTCCAACCTACAAAGCCGAGTTTATAAAAGATTTAGATTTAAGTTCATCTCTCAAAAATACTGTGCTTTTCTTTCATAAAATCAAAAAATGTACACATCAGTCGATAAGTACTTCGGACAGAGATTGCTAAATCTGTCAAAGACAATCCCATTGGCTCTTAAAACACCATTTATCGTCAAACAGCAGCATTTGGTCATGTTAGAAATTCTGTTTACGCAACAGATTGTATACCCTTAGAATTTGTAACAGGGTAATATTGTTCTTTTTGGTTACAACAGACATGCTTGTTCAATGGTATATCTAACTTGAGGCTTTCTTCTATGTCCTAATGCTTTTATCAGTCCGTCAGCCTATAGTGTAACAAGTCTGAAAGTGTCCGAAAAACATACTACTAGTAACGCACTACTTAACCAGATAACCTTAATAATACATACTCTGCAACTCTGTAAGAACTAAGTAAAGAGCGAAAAATTCGTTCTATGTTAAGTAAAGAGCGAAAAATTACAAACATTTTCAGTCACAAGTGTACTAGAATAAGTTACTGAATAAGATAAGAAGGAAAACAGTAAAAAAAAAAAGAAAGAGAGAGAGAAGAACTAACCTCAGACTGTAACAATGAGTGGCAGTGGAACACTTTCCTAGTTGGAGATAAGCTTAGTTGAGGAAGATTGACACAATATTGCATCATGCTAATTCTGTCATTTGCTGCAAATTTCTTTGCAAGTTTTACAGTCTTTGGCAACAATAGACATGTTTTTTGCTCATTTACAATGCAACGAGAATCGGCTCCAAACATCTTGGCTGAATAAGCAGTTTGGGTTCCCATCACTTTCAGTTTGGGTTGAAGGAGAGGTTGCTTGCTAGTTGCTTTCAGCTCAATAATAAAAACTGCTTTTTTTTTTTTCTGGCCAAAGAATTCTGGGAGTTAGTAATTTATCGTTACTTGAAAACAGACAAAGGTACAGCTTCAACTATGAAGTTGAATCTGGGACTTTCTTAAATACTTGGAAAAAAAAATGTCTTGGAAAACATGTTTCACGAATTTTGCTAAATCTACTATCTACCACAAATCTTAAAGTAGGGCACTGGTTTATTTGCTCCCACTTGAATACCACAATTTTGTTGCTTTGTTGAACTCCACTAACTTTTAGTTTAGTTTTTTTTTTTTTTATTTATTTTTTATTTTACTGTATTTTCTAATGAAGTATTCAACTTTAAATATGAATCACTTGGCTGATAAGAATTTTTATCCAAACGATTTCCTTTTTACTCGCTCTACAATTTTAGAAGGGTGGAAAAGTATAGAGAAAAAATTATTGTGTGTGTAACATGTGTGAAACTATTTTCAAAGTTAAAGAAAGAGAAAAACATTTACCTAAATAAATAAAGCAAGCAAAATGGAGAACTTAATCATATGAAATGATTAAGTAATACTTCCTCCGATTCTTTTTAGTTGACACGTTTCTATTGTTGATGTTTTGAAAATATATATCGCGACGAATTTAACAAGATCTCACATGACTATTTTTTCATTAGGTATAAAGCACAAAACACAGTCAAAGGGGAGTGAGTGAATAATGCTAAAGTCAAAACGTATCAACTAAAAAAAACGGAGGTAGTATATCATTGGTTACTTTTTTATTGAGGAATATATCATTGGTTACTTCACACTTGGAGGAGTATTTAGAAAGGGTTATATATTTGATAGATTCATTAATCAATAATAAATTTTGCACATATTTTGGAATGGTCCATTTATAAGTATAAATTATTAAAACAAATACAAAGTGTTAGGGGATTCTAGTCATATGAAATAAATATAGTTTTGTTAGAAAATTTTAAAAATTAGGAGGGATCAAGGATAATGTACCTTCCGTCTAGAAAAGAAAAGGATAATGTACCTAATAAAATAAAATTATTTAGAATTAGAATGCTCTTTCAAACATAGATGGCAACCAGTTATACTCACTTCATCTCTTATTGTTTTTCTAGTTTTCTTTTATGTAATCTCAAAATAATTTTATGCAAAGTTGGGTTTTTTTTTTGTTTTTTTTTTTTTTTGACAATTTCAAAAATGAACTTTTATCTAACTCGAGATAACCATTTTTTTAAAAAAAAAAAAAATACGAGAACCAAATATACTTGTACAAAATATTGTAATACGACAACGGGATCAAGGGGATTGCAATTAAAATTTCTTATTATTTAAAAAGAAAAAATTAATTCAGTCTACGAAGTGGAGGCACACTATCGTTTAGAATAACACAAAAGTCACAAATCATTAAAAGAGAAATGTTGACTGTGAGCATAACAAGAGAATAAGACGAAATCCTTTGTAACACTTGAAGTACAGAGAACTACATAACATCATCATCTAACTACAGATATCAATTTAATTAAGCAGATACCATTTACATTTAAACAAAATTTTGAAGGGAAATTGTTTTTATAAACTTCACCTGAATCACCACTAATGTAGTCATGCTTCTAGCTTCACCAATACTCCATACAAGAACATAATCCGTCTTTGAAATGATGAAAACGAAATCGATCTCTCAATAATATCTTCCTGTTATAAACCCTGGATACGATTTTTGCAAATGAGTGGCAATCTCCACAAACTCGAAGATTTTTCACAATTCTGATAGGTTGAGGTGGTGCAAGGCAGAGGAGCCCAAATGCAATAGCTAGTTTCTCACTGTGAACATATAGTGCCTGCTCTTTCATACTTTCCTCATCACCAACTTGCAAAATATGTGGTTCATTTAGTACATACCCATCTGTTTTCAGCTTTGAAACGATTTCATCCAGCTTAGCGTATATTTCCCTGGCCATAGGATGAGAATTGTCAGCGACTAGAAACTCGTCGACAGTGCCATTGACCTCTATAGAACTACAACCTGCTTCTTTCTTCAATCCAGAATCTTTCATAAGCTTCCTCAACTTAGCAACCTTGTCCCAATTCCCGGATTTAGCATAAACATTGGATAGCAAAACATAAGCCCCATCATTTTTGGGCTCTAATCTGAGCAGACGACTAGCAGCCAATTCTGCAAGACTAACATTTGCATGAAGACAGCATGCCCCCAGCAAAGAAAGCCAAACCGAAGCAGTGTAAGGGGCCTCCATCTTCTTTATTAGATCCATGGCCTCGCTAAAATAGCCTGCACGACCAAGGATGTCAATCATGCAAGAGTAATGCTCGGCTTGAGGCTTAATTCCATAAAGAGGCTGCATTTCGTTGAAGAAAAACCTGCCTTCCTCCAATAATCCTGCGTGGCTGCAAGCAGATAATACATTAATAAGAGTCACAGCATTTGGTTTAACTCCAGCATCTTGCATTCTTGAGAAAATATCTATTGCAGCTCTACCGCGACCATGCATTGCATGACCAGCAATCATGGCACTCCAAGTAAACACATCTTTCTTCTTCACAGAGTTGAACACGTCCAATGCTCTTTCTAGATCTCCACATTTTGAATACATGTCAATAAGTGATGTACAAAGATAAGAATTCAACTTAATACATTGCTTCTCTATGTAAACATGGATCCAACTTCCCATGTCAGCTGCACCCAACTGAGCACAGGCTGATAAAGCACAGACGAGAGTCACTTCATTAGGTTTTGAACTCTTATCTGCCAATAATTGCTGGAAGATATTCAGGGCTTCTTTTGACTTTTCATTTTGCTCATACGCCGAAATAAGGGCATTCCAGGCAGCAATATCCCTAAAAGGCATGGCACGAAAAACATGGGAAACTTCTGTAACCCTCCCCAGCTTAGCATACCCAACAAGCATAGTTGTCCATGAAACTACATCTTTCTCTCCATTTCATCAAACAACTTTCTTGCATCCTCCACACTCGCACATTTCATGTACATATCTAGTATTGCATTTCTCAATGTCAAATTCGATTTTATTCTATTCTTCCTTATATGCGAATGCATCACCCTCCCCAACTCCAAATTCCTTGTCTTTGAACAAGCAGAAACAACACCAACCATTGTCACCTCATTTGGCCTAACATCCTCCCCCTCCATAGCCTGGTATAACTCCAAAGCCATCTCAGGGCAACCCCCTTGCACATAAGCATTGAGCATCGAATTCCACGATACAACATCCTTATCATGAATGCTCATAAACACCCTGTAAGCCAAATCCAAATACCCACAAGCAGAATAAAAACGTATAAGCGAGTTAAGTATAAACAAGTCATCAGCAAGCTCAAGCTTCACAACCATACCATGAATTCCCCTTCCCAGTTTAGCATCATCAACAACGTCAGACGCGGCTTTAATAACAAAAGGGAAGGTAAACTTGTTGGGTAAATCAGGGCATTCATGAAGCATACGCAGAAAAACAAACAAACTCCGAACTGGGTCATCATCACTTGAAGCATAAGCTCGAATAAGAGTGTTCCAAGTATAAAGATTTGGTTGGGGAATTTCATCAAACATCTTCTGGGCATAATCAAGATCACTCATAGGTGAAATTGCAAGTGCAGAAAAGAGTTTGCTTGATGAATATGGATCAAAGAAAAGACCAATACGAAGTAATTGGGCATGAATTTGTTTGAGTTGGGATGATTTTGTGCATCTGTCAACCATTAAAAGAAGAGGGTGTTCTGCAAAATAACGGTCATTGTTGACAGTTAAAGATGGGTTCCGATAAAAATGGCGGGAATGTACTGATAACTTTGGAAAGTTAGCAATTGCAACTGCCATTACTTCACTTGATGATGTTCTTGCTTAATTTCTTGATTTTTATTTGTTTAACTCTAATTTGTTCTTTCTTATCTCCATGCTCTACAAATGACAATTAGGGTGAATAATGTAAACCTTATCAAAATTCCAATTGACCTAACTATGACCAACTTTATAAATTTAGGTAATATTACGAAGTTATCTATTGAAACCTGTGGCTGCAAACTACAAAGTAATTTAAATGGTTAAAGTTTTGGGAATGTTATCGAAAATGTTGAATTGAACAAAAACATTTCTGTTTACATTCTATTTAAAATATACAATATCACTGAAAATAAATGTCTCATAAAGTAAATTTTAAAGTACTTTTTTTTTTCTCCTATTGTATATTTTTATCAATTGTTATCGAAGTCCAAACTTTTGAGATTAATGTTTCATAATTCAAGGATAATTATTCTCAAAAAAACTCCTAACAAATTATAATTGAATGTATCTTTAGGTGATTTTAAGAGACGAATGTAAATAAAGGGTTTCTTTACGATTATAAATATAATTGGGAGACGATTATAAGAGTAATAAAACCTTAATGGTATTATTTATGCCAAAAAATAAAAACGATTTAAAACCCTGAATTCTTGTAAAATTGTAAGGCTCATAAACCTAGTATTGATCACAAGTAGCTAGTACTTACTAAATATAGCAAGAGAGAAATGGTATATGAGTGGAAGTGAATTATTACAGTGAAGTTGACAACTTCATAAATCTCTCCGTGCATGTTTTTCCATCCTCCGTAACTTACGGTTTGTCCTTAAGAAAATTGTGTACAAGAAATAATCACTTACTTACATTCTAATCAAATCTTAACAACATTATTGTTATAGTTGTGTTTAATTCACAATAACAAGGTGTTCTTCCTATACTCGTAAACGTGCACTTATCAGTTCTCATGGAAGAACAACAACGATACAGCACGGTAAACACCGTGCCTGGCTATGTCAACTATAGGCATCGTCCTGCTGTTCGATCAAGGCATGGAAAGTGGATATCCGCTTGGTTTCTAATCTGTAAGTAGATTATACAAAGTACTATTATATTTTAACATGCCATTTTATCATATTAATGGACCAACTCAACCAAAAGCTTAAACTGATGGTTGAGGCCCAGGAATACATATTATACTCTATCAATATATAACTTATTATTAAGCACGATTATTATTGTTCAAAGGGTCAGAGGTAGCGGAGAGTGTTGCTTTTTCTGGAATCTCAGGAAACTTGATGATCTTTTTAACGGATAAATTGGGAGAGTCTACGGCAATGGCAGCTACGAATATCAATGCTTGGAAAGGGGTTGGTTTTATCCTTCCTATCGCGGGTGCTATTGTTGCTGATACTTGTATGGGCAAATACTTAACCATTGTTGTTTCTTCCGTCATTTATATCATAGTGAGTATCACTTCATACATTATACATAGTCCTAGATGTAATCGAGGGTGGTTTTAATATTTTATTGTTGAGTTTGTACAATGACACAAATGCACATAAAGTTGCTAATTTTATATTCGTGTGTTTCATGTTCATCTCAATTGGGATGGCTTACCAGGGGCTTGGCTTGATAACTTTGTCAACGGCGTTACCTACCCTTATGAAGGGTGACAATCATGAATGGTCTCTGGTGTTGCAGAAAATAATGTTCTTTGCTGCCCTGTATCTGTTTGCTCTTGGCAGAGGCGGGCAGAATCCTTGTATACAGGCTTTCGGAGCTGATCAGTTTGATGGAAACGATCCTCAAGAGAGAGAAGCCAAAAGCTCTTTCTTTAACTGGTGGAACTTTGGTGTTTCTATAGGTGCTTTGCTGGGTCTTGTAATATTGAGCTATGTCGAGGACAATCTCAGTTGGGGACTAGGATTCGGAATCCCTTGCATCATCATGGTCTTTAGCACGGTCTTATTCTTGCTGGGAACTATGACTTATCGGTTTCCTCTGAAAGTTGAAACCAAAAATCCATTCAGAAGGATTGGAAGAGTGTATGCAAAAGCAGCACGAAATCGAAATCTTGATCATCCTTTTCCTGAGCAACGACCCACTCGTAGACAGCTGAGATGCCTCGATAAAGCCTTAATTGTACGTGAAGATGATGTGGATAGAGGTTGCAGCGAAGAGGAAGTAGAAGAGGCGAAGGCAGTCCTTAGGCTATTTCCCATATGGGCAATGAGTTTCGTGTTAGCCATTGTGTATGCTCAGAGTGGGACTTTTTTCATCAAACAAGGCGATACAATGGATAGAATGATTGGATCTAAGTTACAGGTACCATCAGCATCCTTACAGGGTCTCATGAATATCACTATGCTTATCTCAGTTCCTTTTTATGACTATGTGTTCGTGCCAGTAGTCAGAAGACTAACCGGAAAACCCAATGGAATAACAATACTTCAAAGAATTGGAATTGGTTTGTCCATAACCATTCTTACAATGGGAGTTAGCGCGATTGTAGAGAGAAAAAGGCTAGAGATTGCTTCGCGGCATGGACTGCTTGATTCGCCAACAGCAACCGTACCAATGAGTATTTGGTGGTTGCTTCCGCAATATGTGTTGTTCGGATTCACAGTTTTATTTGCCTTGGTTGGCCTTCAAGAATTTTTCTATGACCAAGTACCTAATGAATTGCATAGCGTTGGACTGGCTATCACTTCAAGTATACAGGGCTTAGGATACTTTTTGTGTAGCCTCATTGTATCATTCGTCACCAAAGCAACCAAAATAGGTGGGAGAAAGGGTTGGATCTCTGATAATCTGAATCGCTCACACCTTGATTACTACTATTGGTTGCTAGCTGGTATAAGTGCCGTAGATTTGGCTCTTTTCGTTTATTTTGCTAAATCATACAAATACTACAAGCAAAGACATAGCTTCGAATGAGACGATATCACAATAATTTTAACTCCTTTGAGGAATACGGTCTCGATCTCCCCAAGACTTACACAAACAAGGGTCATATACTCATATGTGAAGGTGTCAAAATGTCACTCCATACCATAATTTATAGAAATTGTAAGGGCGGAAAAATGTGAATTTAATATCAAAATGAGTTAGTTTACCTTCTCAAAAAATCTACAATAGTTTTCATGTAGTATGGTTGATTTTCTATCTAATATTTTTGCTAATGACAAATGTAAATATATACTAAGTATTTAGAATAAATCAAAAAATTTAGAATACTAAACCCATGATATACTTTCCCCTTACTACTTTGTGCGATTTTACTAGTCACATTACTAACTTAGATTATAAATTATACTATTAACATGATAATTATTTACACGTTAAATAATAGTCCGGTGCCACGGGTTAGATAATAGTCCCTGTCACCCTGTGCCATAGATCATCGTGCCCACAAGAGGTTGAGGGGAACACCATTTAAACTCAGAATTTGCCTAATTTCACTGTGATCGACTAAAAACGAGCACAAATTACCAACATTAAAACCCAAAACACTAACAAACAAGTCAATTCCCTAATTCAACACCAAAATCCAATCAATAAAGAACAAACAATCAATCAAGCCAAAAACATTATACGGAGTAATAACAATATCATTATTATTTAAGTGAGTAATTTAAAAAAAATAAAAAAAAAAAACCTTTACAATAATTAAAGAAAACTAACGACGAGAATCATAGTCAACGACCTCGGAATCAGTGACAGATCTAGAGTGTTGAACAATACATCGACCAATAGAGTTAATCCATTCTTCCTTCTCTTTATCAGAATCTGCAATGAAGTACATCGTACAACCGTCCGAGGTTGCGATCTCAAAGGAAAAGGGTTTATTTAGCGTATCCTCGGCACCTTTGACGGTGAGGCAACGGCCCACTTGAATAACGCCACGTGGAACAGAGGTGCGGGTGACGGTTGATTCTTTGAACCACAAGAGCTTCCCTTGTTTGAGGACGAACCAACGGCGTCTCCAGGTTTTGATGTACTCGCCTTGTTTGTTGAGCCACCCGACCCGTTCTGGGTCGGCCCAGAATTCTAGGCCCATGTAGTCTTCCGGGTTTGGGCCTGACCCTAAAGCTCTCAATATGCTATCCATTGATTGATTTGTTCGAGGTTTCAGATGAGGAGAGAGAAACAAGAGAGAGTTGTTTCAGGGGTTTTTGGTTGGGAAGATTGATTGATGAAGGTGTTACTGAAAGGAGGAGAAGGTTTTGTTGATTTGGTGTCGGTCACGTGATTGGATACGACGTCGTTTATGGTTTTTTTTTTATTTTTTAGGGATTCGTTTTTACCAAGTCAATCGAAAGGGAGAATAATAGGAACGAAGTTTGCTTTGGATTGAAGGAGGTGAGAATCAATGCGATCCATATAATATATAATGCATATAGAATGTCACATAAGCATATCATATCATATCTTAATTTTATACAGTAGATAAGATTCCGTACATAACTAGTTTTAAGATAAAATAATTTATAAGTTTGATTAAAATACAAACATTAAAAATAATTTTTACAAAAGAGTTCGACTTTCTATAAACAATTATTCATAATAGGTAACTTCAAGGTAGATTTTATGAGTGACCTTTATGTACACGGGTAACAATCAATCATATTTGTATTGGATGTATATTTTTTGATTTGGATTTCTATGGTTTATGGCTTAATGCACATGATTGAACCAGCACGGGCCTGGTCCACTAGGTGCATGGGCCGCTGGGGCTGGACTGAAGGAGAGAATCAATGCAATCCATATATATAATGCATACGGCTCATTTCTCTCCCTTCTAAGACAAACCTATTTCCATTGCCGATCCCAATCAATCACAGCCTTAATTATATAAGTAGGGTCGGCGTTAAAAGTAAATTAATAATTTTTCAGAATTGATATGGCAAAAGCATCTTCGGGTATTATGACTGACAATGAAGAAGAATTATTCCTAGATGATTCTGATATGATTGACGAGATTGTACTCGATGGTGAAGATCTCCCTGATGTTGAGGAGGATGATGATGATGAAATTGTCTCGGAAGATATGTCATATGCTGAACCTGATGATACTGTTGAAATATTTGCACGGCATTCTGGGCCACTTTATGCAGTTGCCTGTAGCCCTAAAGAGGCGACATTAGTGGCAAGCGGGGGTGGAGATAATTTGGCTAGTCTTTGGAATATTGGTTGTCAAGATAGGGTAAATGAGCTTAAGGGTCATAGTGACACCGTTTCTTGTTTATCCTTTAGCAAGGATGGACAATTACTCGCTTCTGGAGGACTTGATGCATGTGTTAAGATCTGGGACATTTTCGGCAATCTCAAATGTACATTACAAGGTCCAGTTGAAGGCCATGAGTTTGAGTGGGTAACATGGCATTCGAATGCTCGTCTAGTCTTGGCTGGGTGTACTGATTCAACTGTGTGGCTGTGGAATGCTGATGATCAAGGTGCCCTTCTCAATGTATTTTGTGGTCATGGTGATCACGTCACCTGTGGTGGTTTTACACCTGATGGTAAATCTATTTGTACTGGTTCTTCGGATGCCATCTTGAGAATATGGCATTGACGTGCCTGACGTATATCCCCGATTCAAATCTTGCCCTTACTGGAGCAGAAAATGGTGTCCTCAGTGTAGCCGACATTGCGAGTGGGAAGGTTACCAGCTCATTCTCGCCCCACTCGAGTTCTATTCAAAGTATTGGGCATTCTTTGAGCATGCCTTGGGTAGCAACTGGAGATGCAGATGAGAAGCTCGTTATCTGGGTTTTGCAGCATTCAGCATGTCGCAACATTTTTGAGTACCAGGATGAGATAACTTGCTTGAATTGGCTTGGTGAGTCCATGCTGGTGGCTTCAGGATGCGGTGATGGGCAGATAATGATATGCGATACCCGCTCAGGAGAGCATGTTAGGAGCTTTAAGGGCCACTCAGATAAAATCCAACAACTTGCTGTGTCTGCTGATAACAAGTTTCTTGTTTCAGGTTCAGAGGATGCCACTGCTCGTGTGTTTGACGTATCAGACTTTAGATACTAAGTTCATAATTATCTTGTACCTGTTTTATAGGAACACAACAGTGAATTACTAGTTGTTTAATTTTTATTTGGGGGATTATAAGTTGAAGAGATGCTAATTATTTGGGTGAATAAAACATATATATAATTATAATGCATATAGAATGTTACATAAACATATCATATTGTTGTATCAAAAAAACATATCATATCGTAATTTTTTATATGGTAGAATTTTGGTTGAAATAAGACTCCAAGAATTTATGAGTTTGATTGAAATACAAACATTAAAATTAAATTTTTTTATACTAAGAATTTGATTTTCTATAAACGATTATTCCTAATGGGTAACTTTTAGGGTGGATTTTAAGAGTGACCTTTTTGTAGAACGGGAAACAATTAACCATAAGTCTTGTGTAAGGCGGGTTTACGATAATTTCATTGTAAGAAGGTTAATTTAAGGATAATTTTAATAATTTTTATGGTAACTTTAATCCCTCTAAAGGTAACTTTAATTTGTACTCCGTAATGAATTTGATTGTATTCAGCTAACAAAATTAATCTAATACGTAGTGTTTTTTATTAGGAAAATGTTAACTTTTATAATATATAAGGGTAAATTTGAATATTTAGATTACTTTTACCCGTTGTACAATAACTTAATGAAAGTCCGTCTTAAACTCTTAATCAATACTTTGTGAACAATTAATCGTATTTGTATTGGAAGTACTCCGTACATTTTTTTTTTTATTTGGATTTCTATGGTTTATGGCTTAATGCACATTAACCCGCAGGAGCCATGTCCACTAGGCACATGGGCCGCTAGGGCTGGATGACGACACGTGTACCTATCCAATAAGTCCCCATCAATAATAAAATAATACTAAAACAGACACTAAGAATGACATGTGTCACGTCCTGGTGCTATTTTTTCCCTCCATAATGGTTTTTTTTTTCCAACTACTTATTTTAAACTATTCTTTATATATATATTCATTAAATCATATAATTGTAATTCACTTTTCTAAAATAATATTTATTTGTGATTTACATATTTTCCATATCTTTTATGGTATAAATTATTATTTATATCTATATTATTCCATGTGTAATCAATATATTATATAAATTACATTGATTTTAAAATATATATTTTATTGACTTTGATTGATTCTACATAATTGATTATATTTCCAATATGATAAATATTTTTCATAGTTTATATATTTATGAATTTGTTATTATTGTTTATTTAATTTCAATAATATTTGTACAAGTATATCTTTTTCACAACATATTACTAATTGAACTATCTTTGTTTTTTTTCCTACGAAATTAATAGTTTGATTTATAAACCGTGCATCGCACAGGCACTATATTAGGTGACATTAAATGACACCCTAGCCAGTACAACAGAGAGGTCGGTGAAGATTATCCTCATCTACATTAACATTGATTTGTGAAGCCAAGATAGAGTTGTGAGTTGTGAGTTGTGACAAATTCAAGTTTTAGTTGACAACAATGACCTTATCTGGCAACACAAGTACATATCCTATTAAAATCATCTTATATTGCCTAGGTGATCCACATTATTCAGAGTCTTGATATGCTGTTGACAGCTAGTTTTATGTAATCTTAACAAATAATTTCATCACCAAAAATTCTTTTTCTAAATTACTAATGATTATATCCAAGCAAATCATATAATCCATCAGTCCACAGAAACTTTCATGGTGACCTTTCATCATCATAGCTTCTCTTGGACTTCTCATAGGTCAAGTTAGGAAGCAATCAAACAAAGCATTTAATAAAAAAGCTTCTAATTTCCAATCACTATTCGTATATCATAAGCGTAAAAATACACATATACATACTAATGGAGAGTTATCAATCGCCTTTCAATATCCAATCTCATTGGATACTTGGATTATATCAAGGGACATTGTCCCTAGACAATTCAGGGGGTAGTTTTGGATTAAAAACACTTGAGACTGTGTTATTATATCATAGGAGAGTAAAGAAGAGTTTCTCACAGTCATATTAGATAAAAGTTGGATGTACAGAATGAGAGCACTGTCCTTGGAATAGAATAATAAAGAATGTGTTTTTTTAATGCTGCATCAAAATGAAGATTTGATTCTTTCTTTGATTCTATATTTTCAAGTTATGGTTCAACTTCAACAGAGTACAAATTTGGAAAAAAAATTCCAATTTTACAGTTGGTATGTTGTGATGTTATATACGTTTACAATGATTGATGAGTACGTTGCACCAACAGGGGGTTTAACTTTTGAGCTTCTTTGCAACCTCAGCAAGATACTTACCTTGATAAAATGCTTGCTGAAGTTCCAGCTCCGACGGTTGACGAGATCCGTCTCCTGCAAATGTTCCTGCACCATATGAAGATCCTCCTTTCACCTTTTCTATTTCAAACATGCCCTTCCCAAAGGTGTATCCCAGAGGAACATATAGCATGCCATGGTGAGACAGTTGAGTCACGGCTGTGAATCTGTTAAATCAAGCAACAAATTCACAAAATTCTAGTTAATCTGACAGGAATTTCACATTAAGCTACAATTAAAGCAAAATTCCACAAGCCAATGCCTCCTTTCAAGCAAATTAATACTTATGCTCTTGTATGATGCTAGATTTTGAAAGATTTGCTAACTTTTACAAGCAAAAATACAGCACACAACTTGTTACAATAGACACAAAGCAAAATATACAGAAAATAGGAAAATTATGGATGTATACATACTATCCTGATTTCTTTCCTAGGATATAAGAAAAGAAGGCAACCAATAAAAAGCAAAGCAAGAGCTAGCTATCATGCTTTAAACTATAATTACGGCAATAGTTTCATTACTTTCACTAATACTCCTCCCATCAAGAACAAATTATCAAAGGCAGAATTAAATTGAAAGACCTTTAATAATTGGGTCATTCTTACAACCCCCTCAACATATAACATTGATGAGGATGTTTTTGAAAAGTCAATTAGAAACCATTACTATATACTATTTAAGAAAAAATGACAACTTTTTTCTAAATATTATAAAAACAGTAGAGTACGCGACTGTTATACTTGGACAAAAGACCAAGGGAATGCAGCTAGACAATATTGGTTAGACTTGTAGAAGAGAATCAGGACAAGTTTGGGTGCAAATATGAGACCTAGATTGGTTATATACCGGGTTCTCTTTTCTCCTATTTCTGGTCCAAATTGAAGTGCACATTTAGTGATAATACAGATCATATGAGCACATCAGCACATAAAGATAAAAAAATAGCAATTAGCTCATAGAAGACGTGAAATGTGGCTGTTATTATGGTAATTTCATAGATGATTCTAATTTTAATGATGGACAAGCTGTGAGCTTCTATCAAATAAAGGTGAATCAGAAAGAAATTCTCAATCTTGTTATTGGAGCTTTTATTTTGAAGCTCTGTAGAGCACATTGACATCATTGTCTTTTTTGGAGAAAATTTTGCAAACCAAATAATGGGAATACATGCCTTTCTTATCATAGTGCAAAACAAAGTATAAGCAGATTGTGAGAGGAATAGTCCAAACAGAACTTAGCTCAAACTTTATTCAAGTGGATAATGAAATAAAAGAATAATGAAATATACAAGTATATACAACCCAGTCTGCTGAAGTTATTAACAGAGAAGGATTATCAGACCAGACCAATAAGGTAATGATGTGCATTACTCTGGAGGAAAAGGCACATTTCCAAATACCTAACATTCAATCTAAATAGACCTTGCATGTCTATAACAAGTTAACAATCACTTCAATTTTCATGCCTTATATAGTCCTTTAACATTGGACTACATAAATTTTATAAATACGATATAGCTATTATACAAAAAGTTCCATGATCCACCAAAGTCTCAACTCAAACAATGCAAGTCAGCAGCCTTTATAGCTCTTTAATTTCACACGCTAGAGAGACTGACAAATTGATTATGGATCTTAAGCCAAACATGTCAATTCACTACATTATCGTAAAATAGCAACTTTATCATTCATGATAAAGTTAAATTTAACATACAAAAGTATGCATTGTTTTCTCATGCTCCAAGGCTACAATAGTGTTTTTAGGGAACTTACGCAGAGTTTTCCTGGCCTCCACCATAGAATCCAGTACTCCAAAATACGCCTGCAGGTTTACCAGCGAGTGATTGAGATTTCCATAACTCGTGTGTGGTATCAAAAAAGGCCAGAAATTGAGAAGGCATCATCCCGAATCGAGAGGGAAATCCAAAAAGAAACCCATCTGCATCCACTAGTTGTTCTGGTTTGATTTCTGTAACATCACTTGGTCTTGGAGGAGCCTTCATCTTATCCAATACCCTTTGGGGAAGTGTCTCAGGTACCTATTCAAACAGCTACTAACTAATTAGTAATGGATATGACATCAACATTGCCCAAGAACCTCCAAAGAATCTCCAACCCCAGCTAGAGGACAAGGAAATCAAACATTCATAGCTATATCTATCCAATTATAGAGTCATTGTTCAATTTAACCTATAATTTGATACATACATTACATACTGATCAATTGATTGTTCGGAATAAGTAAAATAAATTAAAATAAAAAAAACCACTACGCAAACGAACCTATACATCAACTACGAAACACAATTCAAATATCCTACAAGATGTTGCTGAAGGCCATCAATATGCCAATTTTTAGTTCATTACATTGCAAAAATGGCTGGGTTATTAGTTCTACCTAAGCCTTCAACCCACAATATAAGTTCGACTTATCTTCCATATCCATATGATCAGCAAATTAAAATTTTGATGCAATATTACTTATCAGTTTAAGGTTTCAACCGTCAATATTACTAAATTTGGAATGAATAGAAATACTTGTACTAATCAGCAACATTACAATTAGCCGTTGTTGGTTGAGAATAATTGATGTTAGTGTACAGTCCCAATCACCCAAAAATCGGAAACTTCGTAGATACAAACTACAAGTAGACAATTTTGGGAAAACAATGAATATGTAGGGTTAGTAATTCAGTTCTTCCCAACCAGACATACATGTTGATCAATTAACACAAGGAAAACACTAGATGAGATTTCTATTCAATTAAACCGAAAACCCGAGTGGGGCTAATTGATTAATTACGAAACGCGTAAGTCTGACAAAGATCATAACTATCATCCGGACAGAATTGAGCTAACTACACAAGCATGAAGTACAACGAATGAAATTGATCTAAATGTACAATATACAACCAGGGCAGATAAAATTGCAGAATTAATTCATACTTATTACAGTAACCAACTAAAAGGAGGAAAACATGGTTAGGTCTAGGTTCCCAAATTAAATGCTAAAATTTTAAAATTCCCACAAAATCTAAGGTCAAATTTACAGATAAGATATAACTATTGAAATGGGAAGAAATTAAAAGGGAAATTAGAAAAGAAAATACCAGCCATAATGAAGCTTCAACATCTTCAACTGAGCTAGCTCCTCTGTGTACTTCTCTAGCCATAGTTTCGACATGCCCAAATACAGAGTAAAACCTGGAATTTTGAGAAATTAAAATTGGTGTAAATTTTTCACAAAAATTAAGAAGAAATTACGCAGATTAAAGATTTTAGAGGAGAGAGAAACTTACACAACGTAAACTTTGGTAGTAGACATTGCTGCAATTCTGCAATAATGGAGAAGAGGAAGAACAATACACTGTTTTGAAACTTTTGGATTTATTATAGTACTTGATTCACGTGGAGGCTTGTCTATATATTTTTTATTTTTATTTTTTTTTTAAAGATAATCAATTCATTAATAAATAATCATACGGCAGCTGGAGGCTTGTCTATATACGTAACGTAAAGTGTGAGATCGGTGAATTACTCCGTATTTATTTTTGGGGCTGTTTGAGAAAACTGACTAATTATTCCTCGAGTTATTGAGACTGTTATTCGCTAATCATAAATTTAGAGTTTCTCGAGTCATATTTTAAGTGTGTGGAGATGTAATATTAGACATTAATGGTATCTAAGGACATGTAAATGTGGTCCATGTAGATAGTTCCAAAAGTTAAAAAAAGCCAAAGGCAAAAAAAATACAAAACCTTATGGGATTTTAGCTTATATAGCTTTTTTTTTAGTGATTAGCTTATTACGGAGTACTATTTACTGCTAATGCTAGTGATAGACATTGTATTAGCTGTTTTTAAAAAGGAGACAAAAATCAAGTTTTGTTGCACCAAAACAAATAAAGAAACATTAACAGCATCATGAGAAAACTTTAGTTAAAGATCACTATAAAAATAATCGAATGTCACTTTCAAGTGTTTCATAAAAGTATAATACAATGAATTCTTCTTCTTGATGTCACCTTTTGTACTTCATCAGCAGCACAAATATATAAATCATATCCTAGTTAGTAAAAGAAGGTAAGAAGTTATCTATGTGATACAATAATAACACAGGTAGATAACTTATAGTCTTACTGAAGAAACGACGACTCAGCAAGATCAATGGCTCGAGAGAGTGCTGCAGCTTCTTGCTCACATTGTCTCTGCTTGTCTGCAGGATCGCTGTCTCCCATGATGTTAGTTCCAGCTTGGATATGAGCAACCCATTCTCGCCGTTTCTGCAAATTTTTGGAATGATACAAATTTTCAGAGGCTTTACCAGTCGGAAACACTATGGTTTTTGAAGCTAGGGTGACGTCCATGTCCTTAGAGAATGAAATGCAGCCGAAACTTCCACCATATGGGCCTCGCCTTTTCAGTTCAAGCTTATCTAACAGTTTAATTGCTTCAATCTGTATTTACCAAATTGGTTCGTGTCAAAAGAATGCAGAAATGGTACGGTAAGCATTGAACATTCCTACATGCTGTTCAAATATTAGCAGAATAATTTGCAAAAAAGAAATCAACCTTTGGCTCTCCAATGAAAGCATCTGAAGGCAGGGCACCCCGGAGAGCATCCCAGCAAGTCGAATACACATCAGTAGCCTACAGAAGAGAAAACCCAACATAAAGGTCATGCAACAGGACTTCAAAATTCTTAGTTGAAGAGACATCTTCCCTTTAATGCCCTAAGACCTAAATCAGAATCAGTTATTTGAAGACTACATGCTCAAAAATCAAGCTGTCATCAGTAGTGAAATTTCTAAGTTATAGGTCAACATAAGTTGTAGCTTTCTGTGGCTGTAGAACTAGCATGATATAGGCCTTATTTTGTTAACTTTCCTTTTTATTAAGTAGAGTAAGCCATAGAAGATAAAATATAAACCTTTTTGACATAGTTGTTTCCCAAGTCAGCTTGCCTGATGTCCTCTACATGATGTTTACAGCCATTGATATGCTGCTTTCCTAACAGAGTATCCTCCTTAAATTTCTCATATTTTCTCTCAGTCGTAGAAAGAGTTGGATTAGTAAACTTTCCCTGCAAAAAAAAAAAAAAAAAAAAAAAAAAAATCTAATATTCAGGGGTATGAGAAAATAAGGGTAATTCCAGAAGCTAAATATACACTAAAGTGACAGTTTTACCTTTTTACCAACATAGGTGAGAATGTGAGGGCTTGAAGCAACAAGGATACACCCCCTAACCTGTTGAATCAGGAACATGGGAGTACATGAAGTGTTGTTGCAGTGAAAAAAATTTACGGATTAAATATGATTCTCTAATCTTATTTTATGTTATTACTGGTCTGAATTATATTTTACTGATCAAAAGATTAAAAATTGATTGCCACTGATTATAACTGAATTTGAAGAGAATAGTGTCTGAGTAAGCTTACTTGTATATAGGCCATAAAAGGACTTGGATCCACGATACTCAATGCCCTATAAACATCAAATGGATCTGAGAAAGTTCTCCTTACAAACCGCTGACTTAGAACAACTTGGTGTATGTCACCATCTAAAATATGCTCCTTTGCCTTTTTTACGGCTGTTTTATATGCTTCAGTTGTTAGACGCGAAACCTCTAACTTATGATGGAGCCTCTGAGTATTTAGTTCTATTGAGCCAGAAGATAGTCTTGGACTGATCAAAGAACACAACAAAGACCTGATAAGGACATAAGGTTATTACAAGAAGAGTAATACACAAAATGAAAGAGAGGCTGCTCACTTGATTATATCATGAACCTTAGACAACAAGGAATCCAAGCATTCCATTCCATTGTCCAATGCCTCATCTACTGATGAAAATCGATCCAATTGAACCCAGTGAATGGCATGAATTTTCTGAATTCACAATATTGGCAAAAAATTATGACAAGTGAGAGTTATTTGATAAATAGAGAATGAATTGCAGTATGCATCATGATAACACTTTAAAAAGAAATTACTACTCTGAAAGATTAATGTAATATTCAGGAATTATGGTAGCAACAGAGGTTAAAAAAAAGAAAAAAAAAAAAAAAAGGATACCTTTTCAATATGATCAAACACAAGCACATCATCATACAGACCTAGATGTACATCAGGGAGATTACTGTCATCTGCTGGGGCACTTGAAAATGCGAGGCTTTTCTCTGCATAACGCACCGTATCATGAGAAAAATATCCAACCCATCCACCTGAAGCACCCAAAAAAACATCATCAGCCACTTTTCTTACGTTTTTCGTTTCATTCTCTAATCAACTTCTATAAACTACAATGAAAAGATGTTTGGTTGAAACTGCAACTTAATGTCAACCAAAAGAAGTACTAAAACACGTGAATATTAGTCGCGCGAATGCTAAAATAGATAAGGCACGAAACTGGTATTCAATGGGGCCCTTGACCAGTAAGGCAAAGGATCACCCCTTCTGAGCCAATCTTATCATACCACAAAACACTTGAGGAAGCTCATCAATGCACTGAGGAGTCCATTTCTCTGTAATTCTCCGAGGAATTGACAACGGATCTTCCACAAACTCCTCTCTCTTCCACCCATCACGATGATTAATCACGGTTACTAAATTCTCCTTGGCTATGATTTCCATTGCTGGATTAGCCCCAACAATACTATACCTTCCCTACAAGTAATTGACATCAAGATTGTAAGGTTTCTTGCGTAAATTCAAGAAAGCCTAATGCTACCAAATAATGATGATCATTGATACTTACAACAGTGTGTAACCCTGGCTCTACAGACTCAAACAAGAAGCTGGGGGCTTCATGATCATTTTCGTTTACTAGACATCGATATGCAAGCACGGGTGTCAACTGATCAGAGAAAATGCACTGCGATAATGGAACCAAGTTTCCTCTTCTAGACTTTTCCACAAACTTAGCAGACTGTTCCACTGTACTCATGAAATTAATATATCAGCAAAGCTTGAGTAACATGCTTGTAAACAAGAAATTAAAAACTCAGTATGACAAATTAAACTAGTTTGGCTATTTAAAAGGTGATACAGTGTTACCTTGTGAAGGAGAGGAAAGAACTGAAAACACTACAAACTGTGTAGAATGAACGGGCGGATCATTAAACAGACGGATTGACAGCATTGAGCTGCAAGACTGAAAAGAAGACGACAGATTTCGACGATGGCAAGTAGACGGCACAAGAGGCAGAGTAATTGCAACAGCCATTTTCAAAGATGATCAGCTGAATTTCATTAAAGGGCAGCTCACTAGGATATTCCCAACTTCTGCACAAGAATTTTAGTCCTAATTGTCTTGTCACTTATCTGTTAAAAGATGTTGCTTCCATGAGCTTTAAATGCTGAAGCATGGACTTGTTTACTGGGTAGTTCTGGACTTAAATTTCATGTGGTTATTTGTTGGCATTAAACACCTCTGTTTTCACATATTTTTATCTTACAAAATGCAGTAATTTTTCCTTTTTACTGGCATAAAAAGCCTCCACCGCTCCACGAACCATTGGTCAAACAACAGCTTGTCAACTTCTATTTAATTGCGGAGTAATTCACAAGGTAGGCGTGCCCTAAAGAACAGTTTTATTATTGGTACAAAAGAAAGCAAGCAATAGAATTAAATGTTCAAGCAAAGCATGAACAGATGACATTGGAGTATATAATCCCGTGAGTTACACTAAAGAAATAGGATCAATACTCAATAATCTTGAGATACAGAGTACAATATTCGATAATAACATTTTATCCACATAAAAAGTGAAGCATCCTATGTAAATGCATGTCTTCCACAAGAAAGAAGATGGAGTATCCAGACAAAGAAAGAAGAGTAAATTTGCGGCAATATCGGCAAGGCAATTGGCAACCTTATCAACAACCAACAAATAACGTCACTGTGTTGAGAGGTTCTGAAACAACTCTGGAAGATGAGCGTTCGTGAGCTTGGTCCTCTTGCTAATTTCATGCTTCTTCTTCTTAGGTTTATTTTTGGAGGAAACACCTTGAATCTGTGCTGCAGCCCTTCTCTGGGCAGTGTTCGTAAGAGGCTTGATTCCAGTTTTCTGAAGTTCTTTCTCAATATCAAGAAAATCGCGAGGCAATTCAATGCTCCGGAAGAGTTGTTTCAGATCATCATCTACCTTAATAGGAACTCGGGGATCATTTGGATATACTATATCTTCCTGTGAATCAAAGTTTGAGAGCAGCCAAACTTTTCGATCGGCCTTCAAGGCCTATGGAGAAAATACACTATCAGCCAGCTTTTCCAGCAGTAAAATAAGGTTCAAAATTTTGAAATCAATGGCAGACTAACAGTAAAAAAAGATTGAAATTCTGTTTTTTTTAACCAATAAATGTCATCCATCCTTTGCAATCCATCAAGCTAAGAATCACTATTGACTGAATTCCACCATGAACAGCTTCAACAAACTGAATAATATTTTGCATAAATGAAGAAAGAACTTGGGAAAAGCAGGATAACAACAGGAACTAAGGAGGATGCTTTCAAATTTAAAGGAAAATGAGTCAAACCAAAACTACCAAAATGCCATAAATCATGTAGAAACCATGCCATGCATCATATATAATATAGGGTAATTGACCTCAATTAAATGTGAATAAGGGAGTTTATTTTCCCTATGAACCAACTTTGAGAAAAATTGCAAACGAGTAAACGTCAGATATTATGGTAGCAAATCCACTCTTCACCATTAATCGTTGATAAAGATAAACTATATGCTTATGTCACAGAGAGGACATATATATATATATAAGAATCCACTGGCAAATTGAAACTACTATTCCAATGATGCTGAAGAAAGGCTAGGAAGGAAAGGTTGAGAAGAAAAATTAGTTACCTGCAAGTCCTCCATCACATTTATATAAGAATCCTTTAAGTCAATGATTGGCATGCCTTCTGGATATCTCCGTATTAAGACAAGCAATTGGTCCTTGTTCTTAACTTCATGCTTTGACTGTAAGGATAAGGGAACTCAAACAATTTAATTGGTAGGAGAATAAATGGTTTCACTATCAAACCCGATGAGCTGATAAATAAAAATCAACCACTGAGGCCTACCTTGTAAGAGAAACACTGCCCATCATAGCTCACTTTTGGGTTGTTCTTCAAACTTTCAAACACGGTTTTGTTTGCATAAACATCGACATGGCATACTTGATTGATTTGCTCAGGAGTTAAGGCTTCCCTCCGCTGCAACCAACCCAAAGACATTAAGCAGAATATCCAGCCAACATGTAATGCAAGATTATTTCACTACTTATGTTCTTGTCTTTGCTTAAACACATTCAAGGTTAACAAAATACTATCATCTATTAGTTAATATATTTCTCTTGGCAATTTGCCATAACTCAGTTCATAACCTAGCTGACAGGTACAAGTGTAACACAACAGCTTGCATACCCAGCGTACCTCTAGAAGCAGATCAATGACACGCTTTATTTGAGCTCCAGCAGGAGCCTTCCTTATGCTATTAATGATCTGAAGCCTCTCGGTATCATTTGAAAATTTGACAGGAGGCCTTGCATTTATAGATGGTGATGCAGTTGGCAAATTTGATTTATGTACATTAGAGTTATGCTTTGGTGGATTGGAGGACTTGGTTGAAGCTTGTTTTTCAGAAGCAATACTCGAAAGAGTTGACTGACACTTCTCTTGCTGTTTCCGAAACCTTGCTAAATTTTCTTGGAGTGACATCTATCACAACAATGGCATAAAGGAAAACCAAACAACGCACTCATCAATGAAAAGATCAAAAGCATAGCAAACAAGAACACTGACAAATCCATCAGAACAAAGAAGGGCCGCACTTTGATCCTCCAATGTATCAAAAACTAATAATACTGGCATACATATGGTTATACATTGATTTACATATGCTAACTATTAGCTAACAAGCAAATAATCTGATAACAAAACCTTGTTTCCTACCAGTGGTGTCTCCAGGATTTTCGAAGTGTGGGTTCGAAACTTTGGAAGTTTGGAATCGTAATTAACGAAGAAATAAAAATATAATAATTAAATATTCGGTACATAAGTTCAAACAAGTTGAAGACCTTTGTGACTTCCCGGCACGTTTCCAAAATGACTCTAAACTCATGGTATATACAGCTAGTCTGCTACACACACATGATAAACGCAGAATGAAATCAATAAATGAATGATAAATTCAATAATCAATATCAATTAAATAGAAAATCAGAAATAATAATCAACATAAATTAAACAGAAATTATACTATTATACGGCTCAAATACTCAAATATACGGTCACAAGTAGTCAAGCACAACTTCAATTTCTAGAGGAAAAATCCCCAAATCGGCTAATCAAAACCAATCCTCGGTTTTTAATCGGCTAACCATATTTAAAAAAATTCATTTGGGACTTATAAATTATGAAGACAAATTAAAATTATCGTAATTTACAGTCAAAAGACTCGAAACCATCTTCAAAAATCCCCAAATCGTAATTTACATTAGCATATGAAATTCAACGATTTAGCAAAAAAAATCCCCAAATTGAGAAGTAAATTAGCGATTTACCAAAAATCCCCAAATCGTAATTTATATTAGCATATGAAATTCAACGATTTAGCAAAAAAAATCCCCAAATTGAGAAGTAAATTAGCGAATTATAACCAATCTTCAGTGATTTACCAAAAAAAAAAAAAAAAACATTAAATCAGCGAAATGAAATTCACTGACCTCACTACCAGAGTACGAGGACGAAATGAAATTCAACGACGTCGCCCCACGTCGGACCGTCGGAATCGTTGCTTGGCTGATGACGCGTCGCCGCGTCGGCTGCGGGGCTGCGGGACAGAGGAAAGGCGGACAGAGGGACAGCCGGAAGAGGAAGAGGTTAGGATTTTACAATTTGGGGGAATGAGGAAGAGGAAGTGAGGTAATTGCCTTCTTGAGTCTTGAGGATTGAGGAAAGCAGGAAACAAAAAGAAAAAAAATTGCCATCCATATTAAAATCAATTGTCTAATTAGGGTCGAAAACTCACATCAAATCAGTCTAGCTTACGTCTATTAATGTAAACAGCACATAATAAGATTCTAGCAACAAAATCGCTCATTATAATCCCTCTAAACTTCAGTAATGATAACCGATAGTTCCTTAATCCACCCTATAAGAACCCTAAATTGACTATATATTAAATGATAAATTGATATTCGATGAGTAAAATTGAAATCAAAAATCTTACCTTAGATGCTGATTAAATGGAAGATTCAGAAACCGCTTCAATGGAGGATTCAGAGTACGATTCAATGGAGAAAGGAGAGATGGGGTGCAGAGTGAGAAGCTCCAAAGAGCATGGGAAGAAACTCGAAGAACACAAACGAGTATGAGACGATTATTTTTTCCCCTTTTTACGATATAATATAATGTATTTTTTTTTTGCAGATTTTTCACCAAATACTATTGAGTTTTTCAAAAATTCACCATATACCACACAAAATTTTATAATTCATCATATACCATTGAGTTACTGTACGTTAACACATAATGCCATTTTTGGTAACTCCCGTTAGTGTGTCGTTAACGCCGTTAGTAATTAGGGTTAATTATGTCACGTGGTTGTCACTTATTGGCTCTTATTAATATTATCTAATTAATTAGTTAAATAAAGAATTAAAAAAAAAAAAAAAAAACCAGCCACCACCTCCTCACTCCACCAACCCCGACACCCCCTTCCCCCACCAAGCCAGCTCACCCTCCCCGCCGGCGGCCTTGCCCAGCCTCCTCCCTCGCCGGCCCTCCAGAGCTCCCCCTACCCCTGCCATCTCCCCTTCTCGTCCTCCTCCCAAACCACCAACGTCCTCCAGCCAACCACCACCCTATCCCAACATCCCCTGCTTGCACGAAATATGACCAGAACCCCCAGCCACCACCCTATCCCGCCCCCACCCACGCCGGCGCCGAGCCCTTCTCTCGCCAGCACGTTGGCCTCCCCCTCCCCCTGAACCGACAACACTCAAAATCTACAACCATACAACAACATCAATTCGACTTATCGGCATTTTTTCCGAACAAATTCGCTTCTAATTCGACCTTCTCTCTCTTCGTCAAGATTTGATGGGTGGTTTCTTTGCCGTCGATATTCCAATTGGGATTTGCAAAGAGGGAAATTGAGGATTTTTTTAGGGTTAGAGAGATCGAGAATTGGGGAATCGGGGAATGGGAGTCCGGCGAGGAAATCGGGAATTGGGTTACAAGTGGGGGATGATTTTCGGGGAAGGGGAGTAGGAGTGGGATGGTCGCCGGCGTAGGGGGAAGGGGTCGAGAATGTCGCCGGCGAGGGGAAGGGGCCAGGGGAGGGCAGTCGCCGGCCATCTGGGAAGTGGCTGGGATCGCAATTGTTGACGGCAGGGGTGGCGGTGGCTTGTATTGGTGGTTTTTAATTTTTATTTATTTTTTAAAATATTTTTTCTAAATTTAATTAATTAAATAAATAATATTAATTAGAACCAATTACAAGCTGCCACGTGGCACAATTAACGTTAATGACTAACTGAGTTAACGGAATTGGCATGTTGTGACATTTATGTTAAACTCAGTGGTATATGGTGAATTGGAAAATTTTGTGTGGTATATGGTGAATTTTCGAAAAACTCAGTGGTATTTCATGAAAAATCCGTTTTTTTTGTGTTCCACCTTGTTTGTCCTTTGGGCTAATTCGGATTCCCGATTTGGAGCTCAGTTCTGAATGGTTAGGTTTCAATCCCCTCTCAATTTTTGGTGCGAGGAATCGAACACGCAATCATCCCTATCAAGTGTTACGATATAATATAATGTTGACTAGACTAGGTAGTTTTTTTTGCTCTTTAGAGAGCCACAAGGGCGGGTGATGAGAATCGATCCCAAGATCTCTTGAAATCGGGAGAAGAGCTCTAACCACTTGAGTTATCCCTCACTCTCTCGACTAGACTAGATAGTGGTTTTCCAAAAATAAAAAAAAAATATTAATAAAAAATGAAAAAAATATTAATAAAAAAAAAACCTCCCAAAATGTGAAAATGTGCCCAAAATAATAACAGCGCGTTTGTATGCCACTAGCCATACCTTGTCGTTGCATGTAAAATAATAAAGGAACCTTTATGACACTAACCGAGTAACCCGTATAACACTGACGAAGTAACGCCTGTAACAGAGATCGAGTAACTCAATAGTACACTAACGAAGTAACCCCATGAATTGCAGCGGTGTGTGTGAGAGATTACCACAGTGTAATATCTATTCAACGATCATAGCTTTGACGAAGAAAACCCTTATTTTACACTTTCAATTATATGAATTTGTTGATTTTCTCCGTAGATTTCCTTTGTAGATGTGGTATGGTTTTTTTTATTAATGAATTGCTTTGTTTAAAAATAAAAATAAAAAAAAAAACAAAAACCCCATAATAGTTGGCCACACGGTGTAGCATTGTGGGCAGCCGCATATAGGAATTAGTGAAATATAGGGATATAAAGAGTACATTATTTTATTTAAGGTTAACCCAAAGATGTCATAATTTTATTATCTATTTGTCTTAATACATGATGCTTTTATTTAGGACAAAATTGAAAGTATTACCATAATATCCACTAATTAATTGTGTTTTCTTACTTTATGGTTACAAGATATTATATATATATATATATATATATATTAGGGATGAGCAAAATTATCCGAAAATTCGAACCGTAACTGAACCTAAAATTAGGGTACCCGTTTCGATAACCATAACGATTCGGGTACCCGTTCCGATAACCATAACGGTTCGGGTACCCGATCCGATAATTTATTATCGGGTACGGTTATTGGGTATCATTTTAAAATTAACGATTACCTGATCCGATCTGATAAGCATTTTTTTCTTTTTTTTTCCTACTTAAATCTATTTATCCAAAATCTAAACTGTTACTTTACTTCGTAATCACTTCATAATTTAAATGATTAGTAATTATTAGTAATTTGGTCATAATCATGTGGTATTATTGTTGATTAGTGTTGAATGATATCATAATAACTATATTATAAAGTCTAAAATTTTATTATTGGATATCATATTGGGTACCCGATAAACGATCTGAAAATCCAGGTACCAGAAATTCGGGTACCCAAACTTATTGATTCGGGTAATGAATATCATTTTTAGTGTTATTGATTATTCGGGTACCCGAATCGAGTTAACGATGTGGGTACCTGATCCATGCTCACCTATATATATATATATATATATATATATATATATATATATATATATATATATATATATATATATATACATACATTTCACACACTATGGCATAGCATTTTTGCATCATTATATACCCCAAACATTGGATAATTTTTAAAAAAACTTAAGAAATAAACATTTATCAACATTAAGCTAATTAAAACTTTTAAAATAATTAGAAAAAATTGTTAAACTTGCATATTTAATATAATACGTGTAAATATGGTAAACAATATTATATGATACTTTATGTAATAACTCGAAAAATCATCAGGCTACATACTACTCCGTAGTATATAATGAAATCAAGGTACTCTAGTTTGGGATATTAAGAGTAATAGTATTTAGCTCATGCGATGTATGGGTTAATTTTGTTGGTTAAATACAAGGTATCTGTTTTTCAATTAAACAATTTTATTATTGTGTATATAAATTGTTCTTAGGTTTTTTTCAAATCAAAACATATGTAAATATAAATTGTATTATGTTAGTAACATAAAATACTACGTAAATGTATTGCAATATATTCTAAAAAAAAAAAAAACCATCATATCAAATATGAGATTTAGAACCAAAAAGTCAAACCCAACAACATACATGTGATGGGAAACATTAGCCTACATATACGGATGTAAATGATAAATTGTATAATACAAAATAATTTATAATAAAATCACTAAACATTAATCAAACAATAATACTTCTGATTAAAATTTTTATTATATATGTTTCTTTAGTTAATATCAATCAAGAGACACTATGAGATAATGAGAGTACAATGAAAATAAAATTATTAGTACAAAACTAATCATATAAAATTCTTATTAAATTATTCCAAATGTCTCTTCACAAAATTGATATACTGTAATTTCCATCCAAACATATTGTTCCTTTGTTGAATATTGAATTTTTCACCTACAAAACACATAAAATCACCAACTAATAAATCAAATCAACAATACTACAAAAGAAATAGACTACTGAAAATAGAAAACACAATCAAAATCGATTATTAAAGCAAAAATATATAGTGAAGTAGAATGTAAAATTTAGAAACTTTTTTTTAAAAAAAAAACAATATAAAATCTAGCTTATGTGCAATCGAACATTTTGAATATTAAAAATAGATACTCGTAATTTTATCATAGAATAAAAGTACAATATAGCATCAAGAAAAGAATACAAATAACTACTTTGCAACATGAAAAGCATCATGTTAGCAATAAATGGAAATGACAATTTAAAAGCATTTTTTTTTTGAAACAATTTAAAAGCATAATTAAAATTAGATCAAATAAGAAAATTATTTTGCAAATCTTGTTCAAAATTACAAAAATGATATTAAAAACACAATAATCGAAAATCATAGACAAAAACGAAGTAAAAAAATGGAGATCTTAAAAAATTAAAACAAAATATATAACAAAA